TAAAGATATGTAAGGCATGGGTAAGGAGTCAATTACGTTGAGCATGGAATTGGCTGTTACGAGTTCGAATGTTTTGAGGATAATTATTCACTGTCTATCAGCACGCAGGAATGTCGGATTAACTCAAGGAAGTTTAATACCAAAGGAACATAGCCTTTTCAGAGCTTTAAAACACAGCATCCGCCAACACAAACTTGACTTGAATTTAAGTACAACTAAACAGCCTCTACCAATAATAACAAACTCTCACTTGAACTTCAGATATCTTACGGCTTCCGCCAACTTGTAAACACAGAACTTGAAAATCGGCCTTCGTCACACTTGACTAAACACAGCAGTCCAACTCGTGGGAAAAAACTTGGTTCGTCGAAAGACCTCGCTTGGAACTTGTATACCGTTTGACATAAGGTTCTAGAAAATACTAAACGGGCGAATAGTAGTAGCTTTTCGACATATTTTATGATTTCAGTAACTGATACAAATCTGCTGACTAATGCTGAAATGTAAACATGCCCTAATTAATTATTCATGAATAATCCAAAAAAAGGAGAGAACGTTCGAGAAAGTCACGCAACGCATGAAAGCAATTTTACTACGTAACACTCAATAAAGACAAAATGTCTTTGTGCAGCATTTTGTAACTATAAATTCATCATAAAGTAGTTCGAAAGAAGGGCTCACTGGTGAAATGTTTTTTTTTTCGACACTCGAAGAGAAATTTCGTGTCTCTGCGCGGCCATTATTCCTCGAGTAATAAATTAAAGGCTAAACTCGAAGTGATCTCAAGATATCACAAAGTTGTCCGGTTTCATTTCGTGAAATAGCCGACACAAGCCGAAATGTCGCGAACTTGCACGCCCAATCTTGTCCCGAAACTGGTGCATAATTTCATAACTATTTTTCATAGCCCGAACTACCTTGGGTCGCAGTAGCGCAATCGGCTAATCCTTCAACTTAGAGTCTTCTCTGACCTGATGGGTCACACAGGTGAGTCGGTTCAAACCCCGGGAAAGCCATAATAATAATTCTTTCTTCCTCGAAAAAGTTAAAGAATAAATCAAAGAAATCGAAGTGATCTCGAGATATCTCGGACTAATTCGGCTCTCACTTCGTCAAATAGCCGAATAAAACCGAAAACCTACAGACTTTGCATGCTCAATCTTGTCAAAAAATTGTAACTTTGATACATTCCTGAGCGTCGCGAATCCTTTACTTCGCGCTCCGCCGAAGTAATTAATGCATGAAAGATCGCACGTAAACGTAAAAGTTGAACCTCGCGCAACTTCACGTATATAATAAGCTCATCACTTTATATCTTGTGTCGATTTTATTTACGCAACTGAAATTTTCGTGCGTGTGTACGCAGGTAAAAAGTACGCGAAAGTGGAAACTCACCCTTACCCTCAAATTGAAACCGTTTTGTTTTGGTGAATTGAAGTGAATCTTCAGATATATTACTTGTTACATATACAGTATAGTGAATGACAAGACATATACTTTGCAAATGTTTGTTGCCTTGGTTGTTTTAGCTTTCGGGGATTATTCATCCGAGTTTACGGCCTTATGATACGCATCCATTAGTAGGAAAGTGAACTAAGCCGACTGTGAACATGGGAGACATTATACCGTAAACTTCCGCTTAGAAGCCTTGGGCTTGCAGATCTTTTTTAGGGGATTAAGGAGAGCTTATAAACGGAGGGCCTAACATCCGAGGGGGCTTAAAACCGGAATAGCAAAAGCGCTTGGAAACGAGCTATACCAGTATACGTCTTGCATTTACTAGTTTTTGTGAGAGAGCAAACTTGTCCCACTGAAACCATTAAATGGCCATAAATCGGCTCGGAAACCACGCAGGAAAGAAGAAACGCAATTTAAGTGAGGCTGGCCGATTTTTATTTAAATCCTCTCACATTCGTAGGCTATAGAAACAATCGTTTTTTTCTCCCGTACAAATGCCTATATTTTGAACGTCACGCAGCAATGCCGATGGTCATATTTCGACCTTTTGCCACCTGTGATATTATGAGAAGTTTGCATGAAACAAATGAAGCATTTTTCATAATGTGATCAAGACTAGGTTGTAAGACTCTCCCTTTCTAAGCAAACAAGTATTGTCAACTAAATCTCATAATACTTTGATAATTGGAAACGTACAATCGCCTAAGGAAATAATTTGTGTTACGCTTACAATACATTGTTTTCGCTGCGTAGATTTTCCCTTGACATCTTATAGCTTGTTGCCGGACGTTTGGAAGAGCCGAAAAATTAGGTGTGGGCGCAAAACACAAGTTCTCAAACTAACACCTTAGCGATCATTTTATATGAGCCATCATACCATGCTCTCCAAATACGGTAACTGTACGCGTCTTCTCAAAATAAAAAACAAGCAGAAAATCGTTTATTTCGTCGGGAAGAATTCTCGATATTTTGTGGGCGTTTTTAGTAAAACAATTATTCCACTCGCGCTTGTTGGATATGAGATGATTATAGCCAAGTGTGCGCTACGCACCTCGTGGGCTATCTACCATCTCATATCCAACGGGTCCCAACGCGTACTCGTAAAATAATTGTTTATTATTACAGTAAAATCGTCTTACATTCGAAGCACACTTCACCTAATCAATTGAATCATTCTCCTTCTATGGAGACAGAGGAGTTTTATTTACAAGTAAGTATCTACGGCTGGCATCTCCCCGCAGCAAATACCTTCCCTCTTCATCGAAACTGTTTGCTTATTCAACTCTGTCTTCCCCTCCACAATCTGCTCCACTTGAGTTTTCATTGCCATTATCACGGATGTTAACTTTGCAAGCAAGAAGATAAAAGATAGCAACTAACAAACCAATCAGGACACAGGTATTGATGATCACAACAAACCAAACAGAAGATCAGCATTCTTCCCATCTAAAGTTGAAAATTGTAACACCATGAATGACATTGATAAGACAACCGAAACCACAGGTAACCCAGGCTCTGTGATAGTACCACAGTACGGTTCCAGTAAAATTACAGTGTTTGTATGGGGTAAAAATATCATCCTAAAATTTCTAGGAAATACTAAATAAAGATCAATAAAACTTACTCTGCAGTTAATTGTTGTTGTCCTTTTTGCTCCAATGAAGTTTCGTGATAATTTGCAGTAATTTGTTTAAATTCACTCTATCTACAATAATAATATACAAGATAGGAAACACGAGGTGCCATTTTCGCCGACATACTGTCATTCAACACAACTTTTTCCACGAAATTCGAACTCCAACGGAAAATAAACATGCCAGGATCGTAGAAATAGGATAGCGGCAGGTATAGAAACCAATGAAGCTTTCCCAGATAGAGAAACGAATCCCACAGACTTTGACAAACTCGAAGAATATAATCCAAACAGACCGAGAATATGCTCGCCGAAGCAGCCGGGCCAAAACAACGCGCGGCCAAGAAAATGAGGCCTGGGCACTGTACAAAAAAAAAATCATCTCGGGAGTCCTGAGGTGACCTTTCTGGGCACCGATACATCATTTGCCCAAAGCCACCCTACCCTGCTGAAAAAATACTTAATAGAAGGCAATTGTTCTTCCTAGCCGTACCACCCTGGCCTGATATAAAGAGATTATGTCCCTCTCGAACTATATTCAGCGCCTGGCGCTGGTCCTCAGAAAGTTTATCAAACATCAATAGGGCAAGGTTATAAGGGCAAAGGAAAGAACAACGAAGGAGGATTTACAAAACTTAAAACGAGCAAAAGATATAAGTGAATTTTTATGATTTTACCCCATACAAACACTGTAATTTTACTGGAACCGTACTGTGGTACTATCACAGAGCCTGGGTTACCTGTGCCGAAACAAGAGGCTCAAAGACTTGTGAATATTTCTTTGGCCTTTGGCCAGCCATGTTCGCGGTCGGCTTCGCCCACTCTCCTGCTCGTATCGTACGGCCTTAAAATAAGATAAATAATCGTCGAAGCCATAAGTAAAACCTAGACTACAAACGTTTGCAAAGTAGATGACGATGTCATCTACTTTGACATGTCTTGGGAGCATCATATCGATACAATCTGCTGCGTCATTAGCAGTAGGCTTTCTCTTCTCCGTCGCATCAAACCTTATCTTAACTTTGATTCTGCTTTAAGATTCTATAATTCTTGTGTTAACAACTACTTTATTTATTGTTCCGCTGCCTGGGGTAACTGTTCCCAGCATCTCCTCTTACGACTGCTTCGTCTTCAGCAACGTGCTGGGCGTAAACTCCTTGATGCCGACCTCTCTCAGGCTTCTATTTCTTTATTTTTAAAACTTAACTGGATTCCCGTTTTTGATCTTATTAAATACAGGAAACTTTTTCTTCTTTTCATCGTACTCCTTAATCCGAATGCTCCTAAATGTCTCAGGAACAGATTTCAATTTCTTTGTGATTCGCGTGGACCTCTGGACCGTTTTACAAGAGCCTCTCTCTACGACTTAAAGGTGCCATGCCCACATAGCAACTCTGGGAAACGCACCTTGGCCTATACTGCTACTAAACTTTTTAATGACCTCAGTTCCGACTTAAAAGAGTTTTCTATTTCTTCTTCTCCACTGATATTTAAATTTCTTCCCTCATCTCTTAAGTCTGAATTACGAAGTCTGTTTTTCTCACGCCTATCATCGGCCGAGCACTTGGAGGATCTACTGTGCTCGACTTGCCGCTATTCTATTCATTGTCACCGTTTTTGATTGTCCTACTACAACCACTATTACGTCTTTTTATTTATATTTATGTATATATGTATACATGTTCATTTATAGTACATATTTTGCCCCCCTTCGTCGATTTATATATTATTCATTACGTGTTTATAGCCTATTCTACTTTAAATATTGTCTCTTTTGTGTATATATATATATATTTATAAATTTATTTGTTTTTAGTCTTCCAAATTTATTTATCTATTTATCTATTTTTTTGAGGGCCGTAGGTTAGAAAACTGTAGAAGGTTATTACGCTTCCCTCTTTAAATAAAGTTATTGTATTGTATTGTATGGGATCAAGGACAGGGTGATGGCGAGGATCAGGCGACGTAAGAGCATGACAACTTCGAAAAAGGCCTGGTTTGTAGGTTTGTAGGGTAAGTAGATCGGCCCAAGACATACGTCAAGTTTCTTGCGATCTTCAGGGCTCATAGAGCTTCTCCTCGGATAGAAATGTAACATCAGAGAGATGACCATTGAGGGAAATCCAATTACATAGACCACGATAGAAACAATTCCTAGTGTAATCAGACTGTGGTAGGCGTAAGAGGTACATTCTATCCAACGAGAGGATGGCATGTAGAACACATCAAGGTCCTTGTGGCATGGACGTAGGACTGAAAGCGTTTGTTTCACAGTTGGAAAATAGCCGAAGCTTAGAGAGAAAAAGGCGGTTTGGCAACATTTGAAGTGAGCCATTTCCATGCGTTCTGTGTTCGGACGGAATTTCTGGAATGCCAGCATGACGATAAAATATGCTCCAACCATGATCAAGCACGCCAGTTGCAAAAGAAGCAGGAAAGCAAACTTGCCAACAGGAGAAACAGCAAAAGCAAATCACAAGAAAGCGAGGGGAAATAGAGGTTCCAGTAGCTGCTTAAGTAGCCTTGAGCTGCAATGACCTTTTTAGGCCAAACGTTGAAGCTTGATAACATGAAATCTATAGTCTGAATGTAAAACACTGCGATGCTTATTAGCGTACGGGCGGCTTTCCCTCTACTAGTCATTCGGAGCACAAACACAACCATGCTTAATTTGAAAAACCATGCCGGCAAGAATTCCAAGAGCATCATAATTAACATGAAAAGAAAATGAATGGCCGTAACAACAAACCAGGGACGTACGTTGAAATAGAAATATGACCAGATTAAAGCAAGGAATGAAACTGCAAAAACAGGAACAAACATATAATAGCACAATAAATCACCGTTTTTACATGGAAAGCAAAGTCCGCTTAATTTGTAGAATCCATCGAGACAGCGAGAACAAAATCTGTCCGTGTTTCCCTTATGACAGATGCACGAATGGTTGCATGTTGTGAAGAGAGATAGCACTTGGGGTCTGTTAGAGGGCGCGCTTTTGTCTTTTCGCGACGTATTCAGCTCACAGGTGCAAGATTCTGATGGATTGCAAGAAGATGGTATTGGACACTTCACTAGGTGGCTGACATTGTTCGGTTCAGGTGATGGCCAGTAACCACTGCCGATCTTCATGATGCTAGGACGAAGATCTGCTGTCTCATGGAAATCTTTTCGGTGGCAAATCCCACCTTCCATGCATTTTTTGCACAATCCTTTGTCTCCGTAAAAGTCGGCATCACAGATGCAATATCTGTAGTCGTAAAACATGGGATCTAAGCGAATGCGACCGTTATTGAAGACGAGTAGTCCTTCAGGGCACGTGTAGTTCTCTGCTTCGGGTGGCCGTATCTTTCTTGAAAAGTCTGGTTGATAGACACTGGTAGATGGATAGATGCGCTGTTTCCTTCTCGCATGAAAGGATTTTTGGAAAAATCTAAATTTTGAAGGGAGACGAGGTTCTGAATTCCAGGTCGAAAGCTGCCCGTTAAATTATTTGCTGAGACATCAAAGTAAGTTAGCAAAGAAAAGTGTTCGTTAAAGTCAGGTAAAGGTCCATAAAAATTGTTGCCCCGCATATCTTAAGTGGACATTGTTTCGAAATAATACAAATTTGCAAGTACGAGACTTTTGATATCGCATAAACTAACATTTAAAATTGATGGACTATCTACGAAGTCAACCGTTGTGCTGAAAAGTTCTATGAAACTCTGGAAGTGAATTGACAAGTTCCTGTTCCCCGCTAAAGGGACGTATTTCTGGCCATTGTTTGCCATGGTTTGTAGAGGAAAACCGATTCTGTGACACATCTACCATTTGAAGATTTGGCAACAGAAGCAGATCCCCTGGAACATCCCCTACTAGCTGATTGTTTGCGACATTAAATACATTAAGGTTGGTGTTACTTTCAAATGTTTCTGGTAGCCTTCCTGAAATGCTGTTTCCAGTCAAACCAACTTGCAAGAACCTTTAGGGCAACACCCGAGGCATCTCCCCGCTAAGGTGAAGGCCAGACGAGTACAAATAGGATAAGGAAGGAATACCAAATATTACGTTGAGGTCTCCATGCATCACGCCTGGGGTGTTTCGAATATCGAGATCGTAAAGTTTTTCCAGTCGAGAAAGAAAGAAAAAGAAAGCCATCCAAGTTGTTATAAGGCAACACGATACTTTTTATGTATGACGTGTTGTCATGACAGGTGATTCCATACCAGAAACAATGAGAGATCTCATTAGTTGAACTGTTCCATCCACTAGCCTCGTACCATTGTTGTCCGTTTGTAGATTTGTACATATCTTGTAGAACTTCTTTTTCTTTTTCTAGCCTAAAAGACGTGTCTAACGTGTAGAGAGGGAATTGTGATATTCGTTTTAAACAATCTGGCCCTTCCTGTACCATAAACAATCTGTAAGCTGAACGAGAAAGGTTGTTGTTATTCAGTATTTAAGAATGAGCGCAATGTAGCTCTTTTTTGCCTTTCTATAATATTCACTGAGTGCTAGACAAATGTTTCATTTATCTTTTGGTTTGGTCAGTAGTTTTGACTTGAGGTAGCACTTGGTAACTCTTCATTTTCAGTAAGACCGAAGATGGTGGCTAAGTTGAGGCCATTTTGAATGCTGTTAGAGGTCCCTAACAGCACCATAATTTATTGTGCCATATCAAGATGCAAATGTTGTGGAAAGCTCTCTGTTAAACGCTTTATCTTTCTTGAATGTCTATAGCAGTGGGCTCGGTACGAGTTTCTTGTTGGGGTTAAGTGGAGAACTTGGGCCGTGAAAAACGAGAGAAAAAAAAAACAGAACAGACAATCAAAAAGATCCCAAAAATACTGACCATACTTGTCATCGAGCATTTTCGTTTGCTGATGCTAAAACATAGACCGTTGCTTTGAATATTTTCACTACGGCGGATTTATCTTCTTTAAAATTAAACTGATGAGTTAAGACGACCTTTTTGGTTGAAGAAAGCTTAGTGTTTATTTATTTATTTATTTACCTATATTTATACAGGATTTGCCCCTTCAGCAGGGCTGATATCAATGGGGCTCCTGATAAATTAAAATAAAATACATGAATACATGAGAATATAAGTGCCTTCAAGCACTTGAAAATGAATATGCACAGATGTTATTGTAGCCTACTATGTAGGTTAGCCCAGGCAAGTTGGGAAACCGGGTCCTTGCCTGATTCTTCTCTTAGGACAACCCTCGCCGCTCTCTTTTGAAGCCTTTCAAGTTTCTCCGCCAAAGTTGACCCCACACTGCTTCAGCATGTCAGCTTATAATATTGTAATTCAAATTTTCTTTGTCCTTTTTAGATATTTTTCAAATGTTATTATATTCACTGGTTTTTCTTTTCTGTCATATCATCTTCTCATAATTTGCATTTAAAAGGTTTGCCGATGCAGAAATACATAACGTAGTTATCTCTTGACCAGCGTGCCAGAACATTCTCTTTTCCATGTGTCAATAACATTAGAATTTGGAAACTACGAATAAGCAATCACAAACTAATGATAGAGATGGGCAGATGCAATCAAACTACGAAGGATAATAGGCATGGCCCTTTTTGTGGATGCAATGTAATAGAAGACGAAGTTCACTTTCTTTTTCAATGTCCTACATACTCTATGATTAGGAGTAAATTATACTATAAAGTCAAGACTGATTCCAAATATTACCCAGTTACCTATAAACGGTTTGATCAATAAACTGATGAACTCTTCTAATTACTTTATCAATATATAATTCATAAAATATATTTCAGCTTGTTTTGATGTTCGTGACAAATTATTATCAAAGTAACGTAATTGCCCTGTGTTGTAATTTTGATTCCGAAACATACCTTTTGCAATACTGTATGTGTTTGTATGGAAAGTTCAATGAAATGTATTCGTTATAGTTCTCGTTGAAGCTAAGCTGTAGAGGGGAACTAAAGGTAAACAAAACTGATTATTGTACCTGCAATTAGTTTCCCCAATAAAACTGTATCATAAGAAAACAATTTAACCCCTTTACATTAGCCTAGCACATGCACCCTTTGACTCCAAAAGTAAATTCCTTTGCATTTTAAATGACAGAAAATGTCAATGGTATGAACACTAGGGCGCTTTCCATTTGTCAGAACTGGCCGGCAGGACCATAGCCCAACCAGTCAGTAGACTAGTTTGAAAATGAAATAGGCTTTTTCCAAGAGTTTTGCTGGAAAACTTTGTCCTTCGTGCATACTATTTAGAATTTGACTGATCTGGCTGGATAGTTTTGATTAAAAGAGAAATTATTATTGCGACGGGAATGGTCTGGCCGATCAGTTGTGACAAATGGAAAGCGCCCTAAGTAAATTTTCCACTTCCTCCTTTCTAGTCTAACTATGAGTAGGTTAATGGAGGGCCCCACTGAAAACCCACGTGGGCTCCCTGTTTAAATATCTTTCTTCTACGAATGTCGTGATAAACCAAAGTTCGCAGCTATCACTAAAATTGCCTGTCTCCTATTGTTTAATTTGAAACTTTCCTTCATAGTTGTCAGATAACAGAGTTACGACCTTATAGGCGATATTTGGGTATTTTCCTGTGTCACAATTTATATCTATCAATAAATCAATATTCTTTTCCGTTTGAATCCCAAAAACGTGGCTGAAGCTAGACTAGAACAGTTTTGTCATTAGTATGTTGGAAGGCACTTATTACGTATGCAGGAACCCACTATTTCCCCAGGTTATAAAAATGGGTGACGTTATGAACTCGACCCTTATTCATATTAGTGATTAACCTCGACTTGACTAGAAACTAACAAGATGTATTTTGCAACATAGTACACTACTGTACTCAGCAGTGACTAAACTACTTTGAGCGAAAAAGCTTGAAAGCGGTTGAACAATATTCTTTATTCGGCCATCGTGTCATTTCAGATCATTCAGGGCACTTCAGAGAGTTGTCTCTTTCAAAAAAAATTACGCTAGCATACTGTCTTTATTCCTACGGGGCAAAGGATCAATTCCCCGGAAAAGATTGTTTGCCATGTTATTAGAAATTTTTCTGATGCAAGTGAAGCATATTCCCTCATCTGATCGAAACTGGGTTTCAAACCTCTCCTTTCTAAACAAACAGGCTATTGTAAAACCAACATTAATAATTGGATAAATGAAGACGTACAGTCGGCTAAAGGAAAAAATTTGTCTAACGTTTACGAATGAAAGATATCACCTTAAAAACGCATATTCTATTTATCAAGCTTATAGCTCGACAGGCCTCTAAACTCTAACGGCATGATAACAAATATTATAACAGTATAATCTTTGTCCACTCACAACACAGTTTACTCCATTACCTGCATCAAGCTGTTGACAGCTAGTTGTGCTAAAAAGTTGGTTATAATCCTATGAAAGGTTAAGCGTCATTATTTCTTAGTAAGTATCTGCGGCTGGCACCACCTCGCAGCAAATACCGTCCTTCTTCATCGCCAATGTTTGCGTGCTCTTCAGATGTATCTTCCCCTCCACAATTTCTTCTACTTAAAGTCTCATTACCATTACCACGGATGTTAACTTTGCAAGCGAGAAGATAGAAGATAGCGACTAACAAACCAATCAGGACACAGGTATTGATGACCATAACAAACCAAACAAAAAGAACAGCATTTTTGCCATCTAAAGATGAGAATCGTAACACCATGAATGACATTGATAAGAAGACCAGTACAAGAGGCTCAAAGACATTCTCAGTGAATATTTCTTTGACCTTTGGCCAGCCATGTTCGCTGTCGGCTTCGCCCACTCTCCTGCTCGTATCGTACGGGCGTAAAATAAGATGAATAAGCGCTGAAGCTATAAGTACAACCCAGACTACAAACGTTTGCAAAGTAGATGACGATGGGATCATGGACAGGGCGATGGCGAGAATCAGGCGGCGTAAGAGCATGACAACTTCGAAGAACGCTTGGTACTTAGGTTTGTAGGGTAAGTAGATCGGTCCAAGCCATACATCAAGTTTCTTTCGATCTTCAGGACTCATAGAGCTTCTCTTGGGGAAAAAGAGCAACATCAAGGAGATGACCATCAAGGGAAATCCTATCACGTAGACCACAATGGAGACAATTCCTAGTGTAATCAGACTGTGGTATGCGTAAGAGGTACATTCTATCCAAGGAGAAGATGGCATGTAGAGCACATCAAGGTCCTTGTGGCATGGACGTAGGACTGAAAGCGTTTGTTTCACAATTGGAAAATAGCTGAAGCTTAGACAGAAAAAGGCGGTTTGGCGACATTTGAAGTGAGCCATTTCCATGCGTTCTGTGTTTGGACGGAATTTCTGGAATGCCAGCATGACGATAAAATATGCTCCAACCATGATCAAGCACGCCAGTGGCAAAAGAAGCAGGAAAGCAAACTTGCCAACAGGAGTAAACAGCAAAGGCAAATCACAGGAAAGCGAGGGGAAATAGAGGTTCCAGTAGCTGCTTAAGTAGCCTTGAGCTGCAATGACCTTTTTAGGCCAAACGTTGAAGCTTGATACCATGAAATCTATAGTCTGAATGTAAAACACTGCGATGCTTATTAGCGTACGGGCCGCTTTTCCTCTACTAGTCATACAGAGCACAAACACAACCATGTTTAATTTGAAAAACCATGCCGGCAAGAATTCCAAGAGCATCATAATTAACATGAAAAGAAAATGAATGGCCGTAACAACAAACCATTTCAAGGGACGTACGTTGAAATAGAAATATGACCAGATTAAAGCAAGGAATGAAACTGCAAAAACAGGAACAAACATATAATAGTACAATAAATCACCGTTTTTACATGGAAAGCAAAGTCCGCTTAATTTGTAGAATCCATCAACACAGCGAGAACAAAATCTGTCCGTGTTTCCTTGATGACAGATGCACGAATGGTTGCATGTTGTGAAGAGAGATAGCACTTGGGGTCTGTTAGAGGGCGCGTTTTTGTCTTTTGGCGATGTATTCAGCTCACAGGTGCAAGAATCTGATGGATTGCAAGCAGATGGTATTGGACACTTTACAAGGTGGGTGACATTGTTCGGTTCAGGTGATGGCCAGTAACCACTGCCGATTTTCATGATGCTAGGACGAAGATCTGCTGTCTCATGGAAATCTTTTCGGTGGCAAATCCCACCTTCCATGCATCTTTTACACAACCCTTTGTCTCCATAAAAGTCGGGATCACAGATGCAATATCTGTAGTCGTAAAACGTTGGATCTAAGCGAATGCGACCGTTATTGAACACGATTCTTCCCTCAGGGCACGTGTAGTTCTCTGCTTCAGGTGGCCGTATCATTCTTGAAAAGTCTGGTTGATAGACACTAGTAGATGCGCTGTTTCCTTCTCGCATGAGAGGATTTCCTGAAAAATCTAAATATTGAAGGGAGATGAGGTTCTGAATTCCAGCTGGAAAGCTTCCCGTTAAGTTATTTGCTGAAACATCGAAGTATGTTAGCAAGGAAAAGTCCTCGTAAAAGTCGGGTAAAGGTCCATAAAAATTATTGCCTCGCATATCGCAAGTGGACATTGTTTCAAAGTAATACAAATTTGGAAGTACGGGGCTTTTGATGTCGCAAAAGCTAACATTTAAAATGGATGGACTATCTACGAAATTAACCGTCGTTGTGAAAAGTTCTATGAAGCTCTGGAAATGAATTAACAAGTTCCTGTTCCCTGCCAAAGAGACGTATTTCGTCTTAGCTGCACTGGAATTAACTGGCCATGGTTTGCCATGGTTTATAGAGGAAAACTGATTCTGTGATACATCTACCATTTGAAGATTTGGCAACAGAAGCAGATCCCCTGGAATATCTCCTACTAGCTGATTGTTTGCGACATTAAATACATTAAGGTTGATGTTACTTTCAAATGTTTCTGGTAGCTTTCCCGAAATGCTGTTTCCATTCAAGCCAAGTTGAAGGAGCCTTTTAGCCAACACTCTGGGCATCTCCCCGCTAAGGTGAAGCCCAGATAAATACAGATAGGATAAGGAAGGAATGGCAAGTATTTCGCTAAGGTTCCCATGCAACAGGCCTGGAGTGTTTCTAATGTCAAGATCATAAAGTTTTTCCAGTCGAGAAATGCTTCTTGGTATTTCTCCAGTCACGTGTCCTCCAAGGCAGAGAACTCGAAGCTCTGTCATGTTTCCTATGTTTTCTGGCAAGCGACCAGAAAATCCTGCGCCATTCATAGGGCACCCCAAGAAGTTCTGTAGACTAGTTAGCTTTGCTGTATCTTTTGGTATATCTCCACTTATAGAGGCAGTATTGAATGATATGGTCAGCAGTTTGCTCATGTTGCCAAACAGAAAGTCGCCAATACGCCCTCGCAGTCTCGGATTTCCTGGAGTGCACAAAGAAAACAAGTTTCGTATTTTCCAGATGTTAGAAGGGAGAAAGCCATCCAAGTTGTTATAAGGCAACACGATACTTTTAATGTATGACGTGTTATTATGACAGGTGATTCCATACCAGGAACAATGAAAGATCTCGTTACTTGAGCTGTTCCATCCACTAGCCTCGTACCATTGTTGTCCGTTTGTAGATTTGTATATGTCTAGCAAAATGTCTTTTTCTTGTACTGGGGTAAACGTTGTGTCTAACGTAAAGAGTGGCAACTCTTCTATTTTTTTTAAACAATCTGGTCCTTCATCTTCCAAAAACAATCTGTAATCTGAGGAGTGAGAAGTTATTATTTATTATTAAGCAAAACGAACCTAAGTTTTGTCTTTCTAGAACTTTATCTGGAGTTATTAGTGCTCCGCAATAATTTCAGTGTTATGCTACGTTATGATGATCAAAGTCGTTCAATGCTGTCGCATGTGGTTTTCATATGACGTCATGGGGAATAATGAAAGAGCGGCCGTGTGTGTGTGGGATTGAACTCTCAACTTTTCTCATCTAACCGTTTTTTCTTCCAAGATATCTGCATAGCTTTCGACCACGTGGGCCAAGAAGATCTATAAGAGGGTTGAAACAGTGTTAAGACACCTTCATAATAGTTTTTTTTTTCCTCGCAACGTTTAATAGGGAAAATACCTTAGTCAGTTTTAGAGAAGAATGCATTTCATTTTGAGTCTATGCTGTAAACACGTAGTTCAAAAGAACATAAGTTAATGGCAAGGACGGCAGCCGTTTTGAGTGAAGTTAGATGTCGCTAACATCATTATAGCATCAACTAGATGTGTTACCGAACGTTTTACTTTAATGCTGAAAGTAAATTATGGAGTGTCCTTACTCTGGACGCTCGCACTTCAGCAAATTCACCTCCTTTAAAACCTTAAAAATTAAGGCTTGACAAGACTCTTTTTTCGGTCAGGAAAAATTTCCCTTGGCTAATTAATATTGTATTCTAGATTAGTTATATGTAGTTTCTGCATGTTCCTGGTTATTTTTTAAGTTTCATCACTTTCTTTGCATGACCGTAACATTTGGAAGTATTGCAAAAGCATATTTATAAAAATTAATATAAAAAACAAGGCTAATGATGTTACAACAAATTGACTAAAGTTATTTAACATCACTTCCACTAGCTAACAACAATGAATCACGTATGTTCATACACGAGGAAATGAACTTCATTGTACTAGTTTATTTATAAAATAGTCATTAGAGTTTATCAGAAATTTAATAATTTCAGTAGTCGGTTTCCTTTCAATGTCAGGTACAATCTCGCTGATTTGGTGTAAGAATACCCTCCTCAGCGAAGAGTATTCCTGACATTGAAACAAGAAATGATTTTTATCTTCAGTTTGTTTGCACTTACACAATGGACATAATCTATTTTCTCTAGGCACATTATCGATCTGGTATCTTCCAAGTTCAATCACAAGTTTGTGGTTGCTTATTTTTCAAAACTTCACTAAATTCCTTCTTTCACCGGCTAAAATTTCTTAACTGGAATAAATAATCGGATGCAGAGTATTCTAATTTCTTTGAATGTTCAAGGCTGTGTCGCCAGAAAGATATATATTTCTTTTCTTTCATGTTGTTTGCGTATCGCCTAGTCAGGATCCAGAGTGGATGGATTGTTTTGTACTACCATGTTCATGAAATTGGAGTAAAATCCGGAGTTATTAACAGAGTGAAGATTATTCGGCAAAAGGAAAGATTGTTTAACTATAGAGTCATTATCTTTGTTGTTTAGATAAATAACATATTTTATAATTTTCTCATTAATTGGTATAACTAGTGTTAATCTTCCAAGCTCAGCTTTGCAAGCTAAATTAGAGGCCTTATTGTTCACCTCCAAGTAGTTCGAAAAAAATTCATCTCCAGTTTTGTAAACAGGGGGACCTATCCCATGTTCTAACTAAATCTTGCTTAGTATATACATCCTCCATACCTCACTGTTGTAGCTTGAAATCGGAAAAATTACTGTTAGAGTTAAACGTGTACCTAAATAGGTGTATCGTTGAACAATCTCAGTGTGCTCGTTGCCTGTTTTAAAGTTGTTGTCAACGGATTTCCTTGGGCGTTTTTGGAATATCATTATTTTTGTCTTCTTCGGATTGATTTTTAACATAACATCCATGTTTCGCTATATGAATGTGGTCTTTGAAAAATTTACAAGGGCTTATTTATTCCAAATTGCACGAGAAAAATCATATGATTACTTATTAATAATATACACGAAAAACATAACTACAACAACAAATTTTGACAGCGCGCGCTTTTTTAGTTCATTCAACTGATTGGCTGAAACAAACTACTAGCTTTGTCAAATCAAACTTTTTCAAGACCAACGCTTTCAAAATCATTCAACTAAGAACTTGGAAATGTGCAAGGATTTTTTTATATGGTCACCAGCCTGTTAAAGATAACTTGGTTTACAGCAATCAGCAAAAGTAAGTTTTGTTAAATTCCTCTTCGATTATGAGAGCTCGGCGTTTACAAGAAGCGTTTTCAAGAAGTATACTGTCGTTTTGAAATGAGGAGAACGCTTCGAGCAGCCAAAGATGAAAGACACTTGCTAAGGTTTTTTAACGACTGTTTATCATTGTCTGTTCCTGAGACCCCATCATAGCTGGATTCATGGATAAATTTTTGAGATTTAAAACCCGAAAATGAAGGAGGCGATTTGTTTTCTTTCGACGCTGCCATCGATGGGTTTGTGGAGCCACAGTTGTTGTGATGTCGGAAACTGCCAGTATTAATATAATATTTGCTTTTTCTCAGCGCTGGAGTTTTCATTATTTTATTTGGCCTACTGCAAAAGTTATCGTAGCTCTTTTAAGGAAATTTATACCTCTGTGGCCTGTGATACTGACGATATGTTCTGAACTTACAATCTTTGCTTTCTTCAGCTTCCTGAATGTTGTTTTTCTTGCACAATGATTCGTAAACTTTTTTCTCACTTTCTTTAAGGCCAGTACCAGCTACGGATACTTTCATTATGTGAGTTATGGTATTTTCGCCCATTGGTTTAGTTTGGAACAGATGTTTAAATTTTCGGTTTCGTTTGCACCTGAGGTAGAAAAAAAAAACAGACCATCGCATGGATGTTTTAATAGAGGTCTTCGCTTCACAAAAGACTCAAAGAGAGCAACAAATAACGTATATGACTTGAAATCCCAGTTGTTATCATGGAATTGCATCCTTGTTCATTTAAATGCCTGAAGAGTGTAGCTGTCATGGTTTGCGTGTGGTTGCAACCATTTTGGTCTTTATTTTTTTACTTTAGCGTAGTCTGTTATAAGTAGCTTGTTTTTTAGTTTCTCTGGCTCATTTTCCTCGATTTTATTGACAGTATTTTTCTCTTGGCAACGCATTTTCAATACATTTAGCCAGAAAGACGTACTTTTTACTGTGTTCGGGTTTTTGGAATATTTTTTTTAGCTCTTCTATTGTTGTTTTGCTTACAAAATTAAATCCCGTCGTCGTCTGCTGAAAACCATGGCCATTTTCTTGAATTTTTGTTCTTAAAACAGCTCAAATCTGATTGGTTCTTGTTGGTTTCTTAAGAAAGAAAGAGTTTTGTTTTCTCCGATTTTTACAGAACATGTTGAATAATTTGTTGCAATAAAGGTGTTTTGTCAAGTCATAGAAATTTCCTATTTTGTTGATATAAGAATACAGCAATACATACCATAGGTATCTCTCGACCAGCGTGCATGAACATTCCCTACTGCATGTGTCATTAGCATCAGAATTTGGACAATCTTCACTACACTTCGAAGCCGTGTCTGACTCATATTAGATATTAGTTTGATGGCCAAGGAAATGTTCTGGACCATCCACGAACGCTTACGGGTTGTCAAGAAGTCGATTACGTAAAACTAGTTTCATTGCAATTAGTGTCTAGTAATAAGGTTTTATTTATACTGTAACTGACAACTTGCAGACTATGATTTATACACCGGAAGTCCAAAGAGAGTTTTCCCTCTCGTTAAAGTCAAGGACCTAATTTTAAACGAAACTTCTTGCTAAGGCGATAATATTCCCCAGAAAGATAAAAGTTACAAAAATTGAATCAGATAAGCCAACAATTTGGTACAGCTCCTATTAGAACGTCGCTTAGTTTAACCCACGACTCAAAGTCAAAGTAATTTCCTCGCACATTTAAGACTGATTTGGGCCTTCTCTAAAACGCTGAAGTCGGAAAACCGAAAAGATAAAAACACCTGAAATTTCCTATTTTTTCCTATCTACCCCTCCGATGAATTCTATGAATGACCAAAATTCGTAATTGCATGTCTTTAAGGTTCCAAATCTTCTTTCATTAACGCAGGCCCTTTCCGACCTTAAAATTGACAGCTGGATGCGTGAATAATTTCCTTCGTCTCAGTTTCTATCTATGAATTAAATTAAAGATTGCTTTTAATCCCAAAAATTCGACTGTAGCTAAAATAGAACGGCTTCGTTTTGAGGTTGAAGTTCGTTGACATTCTTTGGCCGTTCTTGTGGGTCTTTCACGATTACATATACGTTAATTACTTCAGTTTGGGACGGTGGGTTTATACGGTCTCATGTAAAGAAAAACGCTCGCATAATTATTCGTTTATTTCAACTCTCTTTGCAGCACGCAGAGTGAGACATTTTTTCAATGTACTGACATTAACGAAAGTTGCTAACTTGAGTGAGAAAAACATTCTGAAGAGCGTTTATCGCTTTCTGCTCACATATCAAGGTTCAAACCTAGCCTAAAACAGGCAACAACACTTTCCCCATTCTGAAATATAACAATTTCACAGTTTTCCATTTACTGAATACCTTAAATATAGCAATTTGGTTCCGAGCCATGGAAATACACTGTACTGTAATTCGTCGGGAAGAGGCAATAAACTTCCGATATTTTTAATCGGTAATTAAATAAAACGGTAAACAGTTGAGGAAATACACATACTTTCCCTGGGTAAATAATGCCATGGTAAATCCTACTTGGGTTTTAGTTTGCCTGTTTGAAATTCCTTTTCACGTGAAATTGGTCCCAAAGTAAATTAGCAGTAATTCGGCTTCACTTACAGTCACACCGACAAGAAGAACATTGATTTATTTTTTTTGAAAGGATGGTTCACCACCGTAAAAGTGTCACCGCTCCTTTACAAGTATAGCCTGTGTGAATGACAGGCTCCCTGTTTAAATATCTTTCTTCTAGGAATGTCGTGATAAACCAAAGTTCGCCGCTATGGCTAAAATCGCCTGTCTCCTATTGTTTAATTTGAGCTAATTTGAAACTTTCCTTCATAGTTGTCAGATAACAAAGTTACGACCTTATAGGCGATGTCTGGTTATTTTCCAGTGTCACAATTTATATCTATCCATAAATCAATATTTTTTTCCGTTTGAATTCCAAACACTTGGCTGAAGGTAGTTTAGAACAGTTCTGTCCGGGGAAATTCTTTGGCCGGTCTTTCCCGATTACGCGTCTGTAAAAAAAAATGCTTGGTTTAGTTTGTGACGATGGGTTAACTCCGTCTCACATAATATGAACGACGTTTAAATGATGTACTGGTTGTTTCTTTTCTCCTCTTTCCTTATGATGAAAACGACACTGAAGCTTACTTGCAAAACGCCGGGGGGGGGGCAAAACGGCAGTGCTAAATTGCTATCCAATAAAGGGGTAGGAACATTCCGACGAGCGTTATTGCTTTTGCTTGTATCCTAGTCTAAAACGAGATTAAAGGGTCGTAAAGTTGATTTCTCGTTTCTTAAGAAAACTGTCTGGTTTTATTGCGAGCAGTTTGTAAAAGAAGTACTCTCATTAGTATGGAGGAAGACACTTATTACGTATGCAGAAACCCACTTTTTCCCCAGGTTATTAAAATGGGTGACGTCATGAACTCGACCCTTATTCATATTAATGATTAACCTCGACTTAACTCGAAACTAACCAGGGTCTAACAAGGTATATTTTGCAACATAGTACACTACTGTAGTCAGCTGTAACTAAACTCCTTTGAGCGAAAAAGCTTGAAAGCGGTTGAACAATATTCTTTATTCGGCTATCGTGTCATTTCAGATCATTCAGGGCACTTCAGGGAGTTGTCTCTTTCAAAAAAAAATTACGCTAGTAACCAACATTAATTAAAGATGACAGTCGGCTAAAGGAAATAATTTGTCTAACGCTTAATTTACATTACGGACTGTACCTTTGGGAGTGCCAAACAGTTACTAATGAAAGATATCACCTTAAAAAAGGATGTTCTGTTTATCAAACTTATAGCTCGACAGGCCTCTAAACTCTAATGGCATGGTAACAAACATTATAAGAGTATAATCTTTGTCCACCAACACCACTGTTTACTCCATCACCTGCGTCAATCTGCTGACAGCTGTTTGGTCTAAAAAGTTGGGTATGCTCCTACGAAAGGTTAAGCGTCATGATTGGTCAGTACGTATCTGCGGCTGGCACCACCTCGCAGCAAATACCCTCCTTCTTCATCACCAATGTTTGCGTGCTCTTCAGATGTATCTTCCCCTCCACAATTTGTTCTACTTGAAGTCTCATTACCATTACCAAAGATCTTGACTTTCCAAGCGAGAAGATAGAAGATAGTGACTAACAAACCAATCAGGACACAGGCATTGATGACCATAACAAACCAAACAAAGAGAACAGCATTTTTGCCATCTAAAGATGAAAATCGTAACACCATGAATGACATTGATAAGACGACCAATACTAGAGGCTCAAAGACATTCTCAGTGAATATTTCTTTGACCTTTGACCAGCCATGTTCGCGGTCGGCTTCGCCCACTCTCCTGCTCGTATCGTACGGCCGTAAAATAAGATGAATAAGCGCTGAAGCTATAAGTACAACCCAGACTACAAACGTTTGCAAAGTAGATGACGATGGGATCATGGACAGGGCGAAGGCGAGAATCAGGCGGCGTAAGAGCATGACAAATTCGAAGAACGCTTGGTACTTAGGTTTGTAGGGTAAGTAGATCGGCCCAAGCCATACATCAAGTTTCTTTCGATCTTCAGGGCTCATAGAACTTCTCTTGGGGAAGAAGAGTAACATCAAGAAGATGACCATCAAGGGAAATCCAATCACGTAGACCACAATGGAGACAATTCCTAGTGTAATCAGACTGTGGTATGCGTAAGAGGTACATTCTATCCAAGGAGAGGATGGCATGTAGAGCACATCAAGGTCCTTGTGGCATGGACGTAAGACTGAAAGCGTTTGTTTCACAATGGGAAAATAGCTGAAGCTTAGACAGAAAAAGGCGGTTTGGCGACATTTGAAGTGAGCCATTTCCATGCGTTCTGTGTTTGGACGGAATTTCTGGAATGCTAGCATGACGATAAAATATGCTCCAACCATGATCAAGCACGCCAGTGGCAAAAGAAGTAGGAAAGCAAACTTGCCAACAGGAGTAAACAGCAACGGCAAATCACAAGAAAGCGAGGGGAAATAGAGGTTCCAGTAGCTGCTTAAGTAGCCTTGAGCTGCAATGACCTTTTTAGGCCAAACGTTGAAGCTTGATACCATAAAATCTATAGTCTGAATGTAAAACACTGCGATGCTTATGAGCGTACGGGCCGCTTTTCCTCTACTAGTCATACAGAGCACAAACACAACCATGTTTAATTTGAAAAACCATGCCGGCAAGAATTCCAAGATCATCATAATTAACATTAGAAGAAAATGAATGGCCGTAACAACAAACCATTTCAAGGGACGTACGTTGAAATAAAAATATGACCAGATTAAAGCAAGGAATGAAACTGCAAAAACAGGAATGAACATGTAATAGTACAATTGATCACCTTTTTTGCATTGAAAGCAAAGTCCGCCTAATCTGTAAAATCCATCGAGACAGCGAGAACAAAATCTGTCCGTGTTTCCTTGATGACAGATGCACGAATGGTTGCATGTTGTGAAGAGAGATAGCACTTGGGGTCTGTTAGAGGGCGAGTTTGTGTCTTTTCGCGATGTATTCAGCTCACAGGTGCAAGAATCCGATGGATTGCAAGCAGATGGTATTGGACACTTTACAAGGTGGGTGACATTGTTCGGTTCAGGTGATGGCCAGTAACCACTGCCGATTTTCATGATGCTGGGACGAAGATCTACTGTCTCACGGAAATCTTTTCCCTGGCAAGTCCCGCCTTCCATACATTTTTTGCACAACCCTTTGTCTCCATAAAATTCGGCATCACAGATACAATATCTGTAGTCGTAAAACGTTGGATCTAAGCGAATGCGACCGTTATTGAAGACGAGACGTCCTTCAGGGCACGTGTAGTTCTCTGCTTCGGGTGGCCGTATCATTCTTGAAAAGTCTGGTTGATAGACACTAGTAGATGCGCTGTTTCCTTCTCGCATGAAAGGATTTCTTGAAATATCTAAATATTGAAGGGAGTTGAGGTTCTGAATTCCAGGTGGAAAGCTGCCTGTTAAGTTATTTGTCGAGACATCGAAGTATGTAAGCAAAGAAAAGTCCTCGAAAAAGTCGGGTAAAGGTCCATAAAAATTGTTGCCTCGCATATCGCAAGTGGACATTGTTTCAAAGTGATACAAATTAGCAAGTACGGGACTTTTGATGTCACAAAAGCTAACATTTAAAATTGATGGACTTTCTACGAAATCAACCGTCTTTGTGAAAAGTTCTATGAAGCTCTGGAAATGAATTAACAAGTTCCTGTTTCCCGCTAAAGAGACGTATTTCGTCTTAGCTGCACTTGAATTAACTGGCCATGGTTTGCCATGGTTTATAGAGGAAAACTGATTCTGTGACACATCTACCATTTGAAGATTTGGCAACAGAAGCAGATCCCCTGGAATATCTCCTACTAGCTGATTGTTTGCGACATTAATTACATTAAGGTTGATATTACTTTCAAATGTTTCTGGTAGCCTTCCTGAAATGCTGTTTCCAGTCAAACCAACTTGCAAGAACCTTTGGGGCAACACCCGAGGCATCTCCCCGCTAAGGTGAAGGCCAGACAAGTACAAATAGGATAAGGAAGGAATAGCAAATATTACGTTGAGGTCTCCATGCATCACGCCTGGGGTGTTTCGAATGTCTAGATCGTAAAGTTTTTCCAGTCGAGAAATGCTTCTTGGTATTTCTCCAGTCACGCCGTTTCCTCCAAGACAGAGAACTCGAAGCTCTGTCATGTTTCCTATGTTCTCTGGCAAGCGACCAGAAAATCCTGCGCCATTCATAGGGCACCCCAAGAAGTTCTGTAGACTAGTTAGCTTTGCTATATCTTTTGGTATATCTCCACTTATAGAGGCAGTATTGAATGATATGGTCAGCAGTTTGCTCATGTTGCCAAATAGAAAGTCGCCAATACGCCCTCGCAGTCTCGGATTTCCTGGAGTGCACAAAGAAAACAAGTTTCGTATTTTCCAGATGTTAGAAGGGAGAAAGCCATCCAAGTTGTTATAAGGCAACACGATACTTTTAATGTATGACGTGTTATTATGACAGGTGATTCCATACCAGGAACAATGAAAGATCTCGTTACTTGAGCTGTTCCATCCACTAGCCTCGTACCATTGTTGTCCGTTTGTAGATTTGTATATGTCTAGCAAAATGTCTTTTTCTTGTACTGGGGTAAACGTTGTGTCTAGCGTAAAGAGAGGGAACTCTTCTATTCGTTTTAGACAATCTGGTCATTCAGCTTCCAAAAACAATCTGTAATCTGAGGAGTGAGGTGTTATTATTTATTATTAAGCAAAATGAACCTCTGTTTTGTCTTCCTAGAATTTTATCTGCAGTTATTAGTGTTCCGCAATAATTTCAGTTTTATACGCTAAGTTATGATGATCAAAATCGTTCAATGCTGTCGCATGTGGTTTTCATATGACGTCATGGGGAATAATGAAAGAGCGGCCGTGTGTGTGTGGGATTGAACTCTCAACTTTTCTTATCTGACCGTTTTTTCTTCCAAGATATGTACATAGCTGTTGACCACGTGGGTCAAGAAGATCTATAAGGGGATTGAAACAATGTTAAGACACTTTGATAACAGTTTTTTTTCCCGATTTTTTTTCCTCGCAACGTTTAATTGGAAAAATACCTTAGTCAGTTCAAGCGAAGAAAGCATTTCATTTGAGTCTATGCTGTAAACACGTAGTTTGAAAAGAACATAAGTTATTAATGACCAAGACAGCAGCCGTTTTGAGTGAAGTTAGATGTCGCTAACATCATTATAGCATCACCTAGATGTGTTACCGAACGTTTTACTTTAATGCTGTAAGTAAATTATGGAGTGTCCTTACTCAGGACGTTCGCACTCCAGCAAATTCACCTCCTCTACAACCTTACAATACAATACAATACAATAGTTTATTGACACTCCCCTGGTGGGGCTTTTCAGTGACAATACGACTAAAAAAAAAAACTAATTAAGATAAGAGAAGTAGTTAACAATTCGATTAAAAGGAAAGAATGCGGTGAACAAAGCAATATAAACATACCTATTTAAGAATTAATCGTATAATAAATATTCTCACTATGTACCATACAATATGCATATTTTAAGTTAAAATAAAATAAGATACTAGTAAGATACTAAAATACTATCATAACGTGCTATTTAAAAAGTCAGTAATCAACTTATTTTTCAGACAAAATTTAAAAGTAGAAATCGATTTTGCAGTTTTAAGAGTACTGTCTAGATTGTTCCAAATGTACACCATGCGGTAGTGGAATGTTCTCTGTCCGGTACTCGACTTATACAAGGGGATGTTTAATAATTGGCAACTTCGAGTCACGCGCCCGGTGACCGCAATTCTTGTTGTAAATTGATCGCTGAGGTAATGTGGAGCTTGACCAGTCATGCATTTAAATGCCATGAGAGCGTCGCGGAAGAACAGCTTTTGTTTAATTGGAAACCAACGTAGATCTCTTAGTGCGGGGGTTATATGATCAAATTTCCTGGTACCTGAAATAATGCGCGCGGCAAAGTTCTGCACTGACTGTAGTCTACAGATATTTTTGTTCGAGGTGTTCGACCACACTGTGGAACAGTACAGTAATTTGCTAAAGACTAGGGCATTTATTACTGTCACCAGTTGGTTACGGTCAAGAACATGTTTAACCCGACTGATTTGTGCGAGGCTTGACATACAAGATGACGTAGTTTTTAGAACATGGTCATCAAACGTTAGTTGCGGATCTAAAACAACCCCAAGATCTTTAGCTGAAGATGTAAGAGCGAGATCTTTTCCTAGAAAAGATATTTTGAAGTCGGGAAGTTTGACAAGCAGTTGTCGGCTTCCAAAGACTACGAGTTTTGTTTTGTCAGGATTTAAAAGTAGAAACTTGTTAAAACACCAATTACGTATTAAAAGAAGGTCGCTATTTAGATCGTTCATAGCAGTCGGACAATCACGCATCTTAAAAGAAATCTGAAGTTTAGTGTCATCTACGTAACATTGCGTTAAACAGTTTCTAGGAACAGAAGGTAAGTCGTTAATGTAAATACTAAAAAGAAGCGGCCCAAGAATGCTTCCTTGAGGAACACCACTATTTAAACGCAACGCTTTCGAGTTAATACGTACGACTTGGTGTCTGTAGGTCAGGTAGCTAGTAAACCACGCGAGAGCGTATTTAGAAATACCGAGATGTTGTAGGTTAACCTTAAAAGTTAAGGCTTGACAAGACTTTTTTTTCGGTCAGGAAAAATTTCTCTTGGCTAATTAATATTGTATTCTAGATTAGTTATATGTAGTTTCTGCATGTTCCTGGTTATTTTTTAAGTTTCATCATAAAATGGTTTTTGATTGTGAAACGGTATCTATCAATTATTGTAAAACAGGCATATATCAAGTAAACACAAAATGGAGTTAGAGTGAAAAACTGCGCAGTAGTCTTCTACCTTTTTTAAAATATGTGAAGTAAAACCACTCTATTTTACAAGTATAGTAGTAAATCGCTTTATTTGCATGACCGTAGCATTTGGAAGTATTGCAAAAGCATATGTACAAAAATTAATAAAAAAACAAGGCTTATAATGTTACAACAAATTGACTAAAGTTATTTAACATCATTTCCACTAGCTAACAACAATGAATCACGTATGTTCATACACGAGGAAATGAACTTCATTGTACTAGTTTATTTATAAAATAGTCGTTATAGTTTATCAGAAATTTAATGATTTTAGTAGTCGGTTTCCTTTCAGTGTCAGGTACAATCTCGCTGATTTGGTGTAAGAATACCTTCCTCAGCGAAGAGTATTGCTGACATTGAAACAAGAAATGATTTTCATCTTCAGTTTGTTTGCACTTACACAATGGGCATAATCTATTTTCTCTAGGCACATTATCGATCTGGTATCTTCCAAGTTCAATCACAAGTTTGTGGTTGCTTATTTTTCAAAACTTCACTAAACTCCTTCTTTCACCGGCTAAAATTTCTTAACTGGAATAAATAATCGGATGCAGAGTATTCATCTTTAAAAACTTTATAAAAGTCTAATTTCTTTGAATGTTCAAGGCTGTGTCGCCAGAAAGATATATATTTCTCTTTCATGTTGTTTGCGTATCGCCTAGTCAGGATCCAGAGTGGATGGATTGTTTTGTTCTACCATGTTCATGAAATTGGAGTAAAATCCGGAGTTATTAACAGAGTGAAGATTCTTCGACAAAAGGATAGATTGTTTAACGATAGAGTCATTATCTTTGTTGTTTAGATCAATAACATATTTTATAATTTTCTCATTAATTGGTATAACTAGTGTTAATCTTCCAAGCTCAGCTTTGCAAGCTAAATTAGGGGCCTTATTGTTCACCTCCAAGTAGTTCGAAAAAAATTCATCTCCAGTTTTGTAAACAAGGGGACCTATCCCATGCTCTAACTATATCTTGCTTAGTATATACATCCTCCATACCTCACTGTTGTAGCTTTAAATCGGAAAAATTACTGTTGGAGTTAACCCATTCGCTCCTGGAGATTTTGCCAAAAAACGCGTTTTGAAGCTAGTCGAGTAGTTTTCTGGTCACTGTCGTGCTATAAAGAGCTAAATCTTACCACAAACCGGTTTGCAGGTCGTACACTTGGCGGCCTTCTGATCCAGATGCAAAATATTAGCTTGCGAAGTTCGGGCATGCGCAAAAAACAAAATTTCGACATAGCTTTTGGGTTTAAAAGTGACACAGCAGTCTTGACTTTTACTTTTCGCTTTCTCTCCTCCCTTCTTTTTTCGCTTTTCTTGCCTCATTTTTTTTTCTCTTGCTGGGCATTTAGTAGGCTTCATTTTGGTGGGAAGAGTTTTTAGGAAAGGTTTTAGGATCTTAGGATTAGGTGAAAGGAAAGGTAGGTGGGTAATGGAACAAGATTTTCATGGAGATTTTCAGGTCCTTGTCACGTGGTTTTTTGCTTCTTTCTCCGGTGTCCTTGACTGAATTGTGCTCATTCTGGTATGGTTTGAAAGATCTCTTCACTCTGCACAAGTTAGCGAAGAAAGTTGTCCTTGACCGTTAAAACTGATGACGTCACAAAGGGTAGAAAGGACCTGGATCCGCACGGGCGGTTACGGGCGGTTCAGGGGCGAATGGGTTAAACGTGTACCTAAATAGGTGAATTGTTCAACAATCTCAGTGTGCTCGTTGCCTGTTTTAAAGTTGTTGTCAACGGATTTCGTTGGGCGTTTTCGGAATATCATTATGTTTGTCTTCTTCGGATTGATTTTTAACATAACATCCATGTTTCGCAATATGAATGAAGTGTGTTTTTCAAAACAGTTTTGCAATCCTATTGAATAATTTTGGATCTTGATAAAATAATCCAGTCATCTGCATATAATAGTGAATTTAGTTTTGTTCCATTGGGAAAACAAATGTATCAGATAGTGTGTTTTCAAATAAATACAGGGCAGATTGTTTAAGGTGGCTCCGTAATTAATACTAGAGCATTTTGCTGTGACAAATTTTCCGTCGTAACTTTTTCGATTTTAACGCGATGGCTGCGAAATTTTGCAAAGAACAACAGATATCATTCGGCAATAATACGAAATATTCCGATTTCATTGAAAGTAAATATTTCTTGAGAAATTAGCGCTTAAAAGGACCCTACTGTTCGAAGAAAATCGCGTCTAGTAAAAAATTTTGCTGATATTTTTTACTGAAATTTGTGGTATCGGCTTCAATTGATATAATAAATATGCCAGAGGAATTTGAGAAAAATCGTTGGAGCAGAAGTCCGTAACTAAAAGTCGCTCAAAATTCAGCTGTGAAATTGTTTTGGAATTTCAAAAATAAATTGCTATCAGGTAGAAGGAGCCACCAGTTCGAATTTTCGGGACATGTAAATTCAACGTTTGCTAATTCTTAAAACAAAAGCCGATTGCCTATCGTGCTATTCTTTAAAAGGTGCTTTTTAGTTTTAGAAGCACTATAAATCGCTCCAAACCTGCTCTGAAGTAACAGCAAGTGGTAACGTTGCGAGTATGCGCGAGCCGCTGGACGGAAGTTTGTGGTGGTATTGGATCGCAGCGAATGCAGCAAAGAGAAATGGCGCCTCTTTTAAAATTACCATCGTCTTAGTCATCTGTTCTATCTTTGTGGAGTGCAGATAAGACTAAGTCTTCTTTGTAATATGCGAGATTGGTCTCAAGGCTAATAAGTCGCAGATCATTCACAATTTTGCGCGGTTTGCGGTCCATGAGTGATTATTGTTTCGTGTTTTGGCTTGCGTGCGGACACGTCGATGGGGTTAATCGTTCTGTGTAACAGCTGCAAAACTCCTCTATTAAACACTGGATAACTGGGAAAAAAATCTCTTCATGTAAGCTGTGACCGAGTACAAAATGTCCGACGCTTACGATTTGAATAAAACGCTGTGAAAAAAATTCTAAATGCTAGTCTGTTTATATAGTCATAACTGCAGTTCTTGCGACAATCCCCTTGCAATAATACGATTTCCCGTCAGTTATGGTTCAGGAACGCCCTGTTTTTCAGAGATGTGCAACCTTAGTGCAGTGATTCTGCCAGTGATTACTTTTCAGAGACACCCCATCCTAACCACCAGTGGCCAAAGCAGGTGCAGTGCCCTAATTCTGTGACTGATAAAATTTCAAAGATATCCCACCCAGGGCTATGAAATTGTATGTTTCCTTTTTTGACTAGATGATATAAAACTGAAGACCCAAACTCAAGAAATGACATCTATTAAATCTATGCGATGCTATAACTTATTCAGGGGTGTAGGCGGAATTTTGTAATATGGAGGCTCTTGACTCCAAGATGCCCCTTATTCTTCTAAAATAAAGAATTAGATGAGCCAAAACAGGAGTGTGGTACAAGATGTTTCATATTACAGATGTGTTTTATTGAGGTAACCCTAACCATGAAAAATCCTTCCCTTTACTCCCCACACTTCTACATACTAGAAAATTGCAAATATGCACACAACAGTGAAAATATTTAAAATAGTAACTTAGATCATAGTCATATCTAAAACTGCATTTTCTCTCTGAGACATTGAAGTGAATTTTGTGCTTCTGATACTTCCATGCTTGCACTCATTTTTGCTTTTCATAAATTTTGTTGTTGGTATTTTCTACTGCACATGTGTTAATTATTTAAGATATAACTAATAAGGCCTAGCTCCCTTGACTAGCCCATATCTGGGCTAAGATTAAAAAATTGAAAATGAGAGAAAATTAGCTCTAACTTTTCCTTTTCATTCAATTTCAACATGAGGAGAACTTAAGGGTCTTAAAGCCTGATATTTATAAAGTCTGAGTTTATGGTAGCTTCAAGTGAGCCAATGTATGACTCATTAAAATTAAAGCTTGTCTGTGTGTCTTCTGGGGCACCAAGGCTATTTGATGCAGTTCAGGATGGAGTGACAGACCCTTCACATTCTGCGGACAGCATAGGGTAAAATAAAAAAAAACGGATAGTCACCATTTTGTACCAGCTCTGCTATGGCTTGAGTGAAAAGTGCGACTGGTTTAAATGTGACAATGCAGTCGTCCTCAATGACTATCACCTGAATCAACAAGGTTTAGTGCTGAGCATCTCATAGGGAGCTCCTGCAACAGGAAAAAGGCAAATGAAATTTTTCATAACTTGTCATCTTGCATCAGTGGGAGCATCAATGAGCTTGTTTCAGGGGCAACTTTACATATTAAAATTGCAACTTGTGCAGCCTATGATATATGACTATATACACTACTACAGTGTATACACAGCCAAACCGACATTGGCAAGCCAAGTGCTCCTAAATTCACGTGCACAAACACTGAATATATGAGACCCAGAGTATCAAGAGATCTATTTCTATCGGAGAGTGAAAAGTTACCCCTATGGCATTTAGTTGTTGCCCACAACTAGCGATACCCCTTTAGATATTCAGGACTTCTAAAGTGTCATGGATACGAATTTATATTCAAGAAGGAAAGAAATCTTTTGGATAGAAAAGGAACAATAACATTTATGATTTTTGTAAGCATACAAATACATTGTATGTGATGAAGCTAATTCTTATGTGGATGCCAATGTAAGGAATCAAATACAGGGATTTCATGTCCAGTGTTGTCTGTACTTCAAACAGGAATGGCAGTCCAGCAAGTGCAAAGGTGAACAAGGGCAAGAATTGTTTTGCGCTTGAACTTGTGCTAGTGTCAAAGTGGAAGTAATATTGTAATGGTCACATGAAAATGCATTAAATCACACTTATTAAATCACTTTTATAGTAGGGCAGGGAAAAGAATGCACATGTGTATTTTCATATTTTATATTGATTTCAGTTATGTTTCAAGACATTATGTAAACATTCTAAGCATAACATTACAATTCTTTTAGGCGCCAATTTTGTATGTATAAACAAATCATCATTGAATAATTGTCAGAATAAAATCATCTTCCAAATGGTGAGGGTTCTTGTCAGTGAATCTGAGAGCTTACAGTGCATGATTATTAAAACGCAAATTCATCAGTGTTCCCCTCCTTGGATGCAAAATCAAACATTCCAGAATGAAAGAGCGTTCCGAAACAATGCTCTTACAAATAAGTTTTGTTGGGATATACTTTAATATGTTAACGAAAAATCTAAAAACAAGGTTGAAAAGGACAAGAAAAATTTGTCCATCTTTAACGAAGTTTTAGCAAATAATATTTCACAATCCACCGCCTCGATCTCTTAATCTCTGAGAATAAGTAATCACCATAGAGCACCAATGGACACCAGAAAAGCAAATTTTCGAAAATGGAAGGAAACATCCGACTATGGCCCTTACTTGTAAGAGTAGGAAATTTGCTTGTTGATTTCATGCCGCTAAATAGTATCAAAATACTCGAACTTCCCCCCTTTGACTTAACCATTAAAAGTGAAAATACGGAGTGGCCGAAAGAGAAGTTTAACCTGTTTAGTCGCTTGTGTGGGATATATAACTGGATCTCGCTGTATGGTCAGGGTCAAATACTAAAAAAATACCAGGGTCACATAAATTACGTTGAATTCAGGCTGCTATAATTTTAACACATAACATTCGATGATGCTGCTCCACATTTCACAAAGTAAATTAAGGGGTATATCTTACCTAAATGTTAGGCAGCTCTGCAGATCGTGGACGATAACCCAGAAATCCGTGACCGCTCCAATGTCAACAAATCAACATATCACAACAAACGACCTCGTGAACGCTTTATCTGCTTCATCAGAGGAGCCAAATAGACGAAAATTAACCACCTAAATGGCCCTTCTCCCATACATGACACTTCAACATGGCTTAGCCAAAGTATCCAATGTATAAGACATGTCTGTTGTCGATTGGGTATGCAAAAAAATCTCCCTTGAAAGTGCTTCAGAACGGCTTTCGGCCATTACGATTTCCCGTCAACAAGTACGTCCCAGCAAGCTTGACGCATGCGCAAACGTTACCACTTGCTGTTCTCTGAAGTAGAATTACTTGTTCTTCGACAGTTTTAAAATATCCCTCGGCAGTTTTGGCTCAAACTCCTGCTGCGTACATTTTGATGTATTGCAATGCATTTTCAAGGACTTTTACTGCTGTTCGTTGCTTCCAACTCAGGAAAAAAGTGTTGAGATTGGACGCTACCTCGTATCAGAGCTCAGATAGAACTGTCCAGCACCTTTGTTTATGACTACAAAATGAGCACGAGCGGCAGTTCTGCGAGGAATTCGCACCTCACCCAGGGGGGAGAACGACAATGATGACCATGCCTGTGAACCGAATAACATCACAGTGCAAAATAAAATTATCGCAAAAATACTGCCCGTGAATAAATTTACAACTCTGAAAGTTTTGTCACTCCTTCCTTCAATGAATGGGTATTTTTTTTCTTGATTATTATGTTTTGCTCTGCAATACATGTTTATACATATCTGTTCACAGACATGGGCATCATTGTCATTCGTCCCCCCTCGCTGAGGTGCGAATTCCTCGCAGAGTTGCCGCTCGTGCTCATTTTCTGGTCATAAACAAAGGTGCTCGACAGTTCTGTCTGAGCTTCGATACAAGGTAGCTTACAATCCCAATACCTTTTTCCTGAATTGGAAACAACGTACAGCAGGAAAAGCCGTTGAGGATGCATTGCAATACATCAAAATGTATGTAGCAGGAGTTTGAACCAAAACTGCCAAGGGATATTTTAAAAATGTCGAGGAACAAGTCATTCGACTTGAAAAAACTGAAAAATATCCTCTAAAGAATAGCACGAAAGGCAATCGGCTTTTGTTTTAAGAATTAGCAAACACTGAATTTACTTGTCCCGAAAATTGAAAGAGGTGTCTCCTTCTTCCTGATAGTAATTTATTTTTGAAATTCCAAAACAATTTCACAGCTGAATTTTGAGCGACTTTTAGTTACGGACTTCTGCTCCAACGATTTTTCTCAAATTCCTCTGGCATATTTATTATATCAATTGAAGCCGATACCACAAATTTCAGTAAAAAATATCAGCAAAATTTTTTACTAGACGCAATTTTCTTTGAACAGTAGGGTCCTTTTAAGCGCTAATTTCTCAAGAAATATTTACCATCAATGAAATCGGAATATTTCGTATTATTGCCGAATGATATCTGTTGTTCTTTGCAAAGTTTTGCAGCCATCGAGTTAAAATCGAAAAAGTTATGACGGAAAATTTGTCACAGCTAAATGCTCTTGTATTAATTACGGAGCCACCTTAAATAGAGGTTAAATAAAAGGGGACTTAAAATACAACCTAGCTTGACGAACACCTCTTTGAGTATAAGAAAGAACGAGTTTTGATTTCTCTGATTTTTTCAGAACATGTTGAGTTGCAATAAAGATGTTTTGATAAGTTATAGAAATTTCCTATTTTGTTGATATAAGAATACAGCAAAACATACCATAGGTATGTCTTGACCAGCGTGCATGAACATTCCCTAGTGCATGTGTCATTAGCATCAGAATTTGGACAATCTTCACTACACTTCGAAGCCGTGTCTGACTCATATTAGTATCCAATAAAGGGGTAGGAACATTCCGACGAGTGTTATTGCTTTTGCTTGCATCCTAGTCTAAAACGAGGTTAAAGGGTCGTAAAGTTGATTTCTCGTTTCTTAAGAAAACTGTCTGGTTTTATTGCGAGCATTTTGTAAAAGAAGTACGCTCATTAGTACGGAGGAAGACACTTATTACGTATGCAGGAACCCACTTTTTCCCCAGGTTATTAAAATGTGTGACGTCATGAACTCGACCCTTATTCATATTAATGATTAACCTCGACTTAACTCGAAACTAACCAGGGTCTAACAAGGTATATTTTGCAACATAGTACACTACTGTAGTCAGCTGTAACTAAACTCCTTTGAGCGAAAAAGCTTGAAAGCGGTTGAACAATATTCTTTATTCGGCCATCGTGTCATTTCAGATCATTCAGGGCACTTCAGGGAGTTGTCTCTTTCAAAAAAAAATTACGCTAGTAACCAACATTAATTAAAGATGACAGTCGGCTAAAGGAAATAATTTGTCTAACGCTTAATTTACATTACGGACTGTACCTTTGGGAGTGCCAAACAGTTACTAATGAAAGATATCACCTTAAAAAAGGATGTTCTGTTTATCAAACTTATAGCTCGACAGGCCTCTAAACTCTAATGGCATGGTAGCAAACATTATAAGAGTATAATCTTTGTCCACCAACACCACCGTTTACTCCATCACCTGCGTCAATCTGCTGACAGCTGTTTGGTCTAAAAAGTTGGGTATGCTCCTACGAAAGGTTAAGCGTCATTATTGGTCAGTACGTATCTGCGGCTGGCACCACCTCGCAGCAAATACCCTCCGTCTTCATCACCAATGTTTGCGTGCTCTTCAGATGTATCTTCCCCTCCACAATTTGTTGTTCTTGACGTCTCATTACCATTACCAAAGATCTTGACTTTCCAAGCGAGAAGATAGAAGATAGCGACCAACAAACCAATCAGGACACAGGTATTGATGACCATAACAAACCAAACAAAGAGAACAGCATTTTTGCCATCTAAAGATGAAAATCGTAACGCCATAAATGACATTGATAAGACGACCAATACTAGAGGCTCAAAGACATTCTCAGTGAATATTTCTTTGACCTTTGGCCAGCCATGTTCGCGGTCGGCTTCGCCCACTCTCCTGCTCGTATCGTACGGGCGTAAAATAAGATGAATAAGCGCTGAAGCTATAAGTACAACCCAGACTACAAACGTTTGCAAAGTAGATGACGATGGGATCATGGACAGGGCGATGGCGAGAATCAGGCGACGTAAGAGGATGACAACTTCGAAGAACGCTTGGTACTTAGGTTTGTAGGGTAAGTAGATCGGCCCAAGCCATACATCAAGTTTCTTTCGATCTTCAGGGCTCATAGAACTTCTCTTGGGGAAGAAGAGTAACATCAAGGAGATGACCATCAAGGGAAATCCAATCACGTAGACCACAATGGAGACAATTCCTAGTGTAATCAGACTGTGGTAGGCGTAAGAGGTACATTCTATCCAAGGAGAAGATGGTATGTAGAGCACATCAAGGTCCTTGTGGCATGGACGTAAGACTGAAAGCGTTTGTTTCACAATGGGAAAATAGCTGAAGCTTAGACAGAAAAAGGCGGTTTGGCGACATTTGAAGTGAGCCATTTCCATGCGTTCTGTGTTTGGACGGAATTTCTGGAATGCCAGCATGACGATAAAATATGCTCCAACCATGATCAAGCACGCCAGTGGCAAAAGAAGCAGGAAAGCAAACTTGCCAACAGGAGTAAACAGCAACGGCAAATCACAAGAAAGCGAGGGGAAATAGAGGTTCCAGTAGCTGCTTAAGTAGCCTTGAGCTGCAATGACCTTTTTAGGCCAAACGTTGAAGCTTGATACCATGAAATCTATGGTCTGAATGTAAAACACTGCGATGCTTATGAGCGTACGAGCCGCTTTCCCTCTACTAGTCATACAGAGCACAAACACAACCATGTTTAATTTGAAAAACCATGCCGGCAAGAATTCCAAGAGCATCATAATTAACATTAGAAGAAAATGAATGGCCGTAACAACAAACCATTTCAAGGGACGTACGTTGAAATAGAAATATGACCAGATTAAAGCAAGGAATGAAACTGCAAAAACAGGAATGAACATGTAATAGTACAATAAATCACCGTTTTTGCATCGAAAGCAAAGTCCACCTAATCTGTAAAATCCATCGAGACAGCGAGAACAAAACCTGTCCGTGTTTCCTTGATGACAGATGCACGAATGGTTGCATGTTGTGAAGAGAGATAGCACTTGGGGTCTGTTAGAGGGCGAGTTTGTGTCTTTTCGCGATGTATTCAGCTTACAGGTGCAAGAATCCGATGGATTGCAAGCAGATGGTATTGGACACTTTACAAGGTGGGTGACATTGTTCGGTTCAGGTGATGGCCAGTAACCACTGCCGATTTTCATGATGCTAGGACGAAGATCTGCTGTCTCACGGAAATCTTTTCCATGGCAAGTCCCGCCTTCCATGCATTTTTTGCACAACCCTTTGTCTCCATAAAAATCGGCATCACAGATGCAATATCTGTAGTCGTAAAACGTGGGATCTAACCGAATGCGACCGTTATTGAAGACGAGACGTCCTTCAGGGCACGTGTAGTTCTCTGCTTCGGGTGGCCGTATCATTCTTGAAAAGTCTGGTTGATAGACACTAGTAGATGCGCTGTTTCCTTCTCGCATGAAAGGATTTCTTGAAATATCTAAATATTGAATGGAGTTGAGGTTCTGAATTCCAGGTGGAAAGCTGCCTGTTAAGTTATTTGATGAGACATCGAAGTATGTAAGCAAAGAAAAGTCCTCGAAAAAGTCGGGTAAAGGTCCATAAAAATTGTTGCCACGCATATCGCAAGTGGACATTGTTTCAAAGTAATACAAATTAGCAAGTACGGGACTTTTAATGTCACAAAAGCTAACATTTAAAATTGATGGACTTTCTACGAAATCAACCTTCTTTGTGAAAAGTTCTATGAAGCTCTGGAAATGAATTAACAAGTTCCTGTTTCCCGCTAAAGAGACGTATTTCGTCTTAGCTGCACTGGAATTAACTGGCCATGGTTTGCCATGGTTTATAGAGGAAAACTGATTCTGTGACACATCTACCATTTGAAGATTTGGCAACAGAAGCAGATCCCCTGGAATATCTCCTACTAGCTGATTGTTTGCGACATTAAATACATTAAGGTTGATGTTACTTTCAAATGTTTCTGGTAGCCTTCCTGAAATGCTGTTTCCAGTCAAACCAACTTGCAAGAACCTTTTGGGCAACACCCGAGGCATCTCCCCGCTAAGGTGAAGGCCAGACAAGTACAAATAGGATAAAGAAGGAATAGCAAATATTACGTTGAGGTCTCCATGCATCATGCCTGGGGTGTTTCGAATGTCAAGATCGTAAAGTTTTTCCAGTCGCGATATGCTTCCTGGTATTTCTCCCGTCAAGTTGCTTCCCCCAAGACAGAGACCTCGAAGCTCTGTCATATTTCCTATGTTTTCTGGTAAGCGACCAGAGAAGCCCTTGCCATTCATAGGACATCCCAAGATGAACTGCAGACTAGTCAGCTTTACGATGTCTTTTGGTATATCTCCACTGATGGAGGTGGTTTTAAATGAAATGATGAACAGTTTGCTCATGTTGCCAAACAGAAAGTCGCCTATACGCCCTTGAAGTCTCGGATTTCCCAGCGTGCAAAGGGAAAATAAGTTTCGTATTTTCCAAATGTTAGAAGGAAGAAAGCCATCCAAATTGTTGTAAGGCAACACGATACTTTTTACGTATGACGTGTTGTCATGACAGGTGATTCCATACCAGAAACAATGAGAGATCTCATTAGTTGAACTGTTCCATCCACTAGCCTCGTACCATTGTTGTCCGTTTGTAGATTTGTATATATCCTGTAGAACTTCTTTTTCCTTTTCTGGCGTAAAAGACGTGTCTAACGTGTAGAGGGAGAATTGTGGTATTCGTTTTAAACAATCTGGCCCTTCCTGTTCCATAAACAATCTGTAAGCTGAACGAGAAAGGTTGTTGTTATGTAATATTTAATATTTATTTGTTGTATTTAAGAATTAGCGCAATGTAGCTCTTTTCGGCCTTTCTATAATTTTAAGGAGTGCTAGGCAAATATTTCAATTATCTTGTGGTTTGGTCAGTAGTTTTGACTTGAGGAAGCACTTAGAAACTCTCAGTAAGACCCAAGATGGTGGCTGAGAGACTGAGGCCATTTTGAATGCTGTTAGATGTCCCTAACAGCGCCATAAGGGGTTAAGTGGAGAACTTGGGCAGTGAAAAACGAGGAAAAAAAAATAGAAAACAAAAACAAAAACAAAACAGACGATAAAAAAAGATCCAAAAAATACTGACCATACTCGTCATCGAGCATTTTCGTTTGGTGATGCTAAAACATAGACCGTTGCTTTGAATATTTTTACTACAGCGGATTTATCCTCTTTAAAATTAAACTGATGAGTTAAGACGACCTTTTTTGTTGCAGAAAGGTTAGTGTTTATTTATTTAATTACCTATATTTATACAGGATTTGCCCCTTCAGCAGGGCTGATATCAATGGGGGTCCTGATAAATTGAAAATTAAATACATGAATACATGAGAATATAACCAAACGTGAAATGGCACGTACTTGAAAAATGTACTATTTGTGCAAAACTAGAGAATAACAGTCCTCAGCATATTTTTAAATTGTGGCAAAGATTTGGACTGTTTTGCTGAGTCTGGGAGCTCACTATAGGTCCTTGCTCCCCAGTACATAATTTACTTTTTGTCCTAAACTCAGTTCTAAACAGCTGGAAGTACAACATTAAATTTACTCGCTGTGCAATGTAGGAACGTTCTGTAGGTACAAGTGCCTTCAAACACTTGAAAATGAATGTGCAAAGATGTTATTGTAGCCTACTACGTAGGTTAGCCCAGGCAAGTTGGGAAACCGGGTCCTTGCCTGATTCTTCTCTTAGGGTGTGTTCCTTTCGGCGAATCCAAAAACGGATTTTTGATCCTAGATTTGCCAGATTTTGCGGTCGAAAGGAACGTGAAATCCGAAATTGGATTTGTAACCCTGGTAACCTTTCGCCAACGCGTGCAATATGCACGACAGCCTCTCAAGAAATGACGCGTTTTCTATTGTTTGACAAATTATGCGATTAAACCGTGCAGAATTTAGTGGTCGGCAGTTCGAATAGCGACGATGGAACATATAAAACAGGCAAAGAAAGAAGCGCATTAAAATTGAAAATTATCTAAAGAATGTCGGCCAGTTTGATCCAGTTCCATAGCTCGGATTTATCGAGTGCCTGTCGCGTCTACAAGCGAGTTTGTAGTTAGATAGCAGTTCATTTGTTACTTTTACTTATTTCTGATTTCAAGCAATCTTTAGAGACAAATGGTTAGTATATGGATATTTTAATGTACCAGGAACAATCTTGTAGTGTTTTCAGATGTTTTGACATACCGCTGGATCATCTGACTAATTTCGGATCCACTGTGAATGGAACAGTGTAGATCACTAATCCGTTAATCTGGATTTGGATTCTTCGGATTTCAAATCCAATGAATCCTTTTTCAAAAAGGATTCACCAGATCAAAAATCCGGATTTGGATTTGCCGAAAGGAACGCGAAATCCGTTCTTAGATCTAAAATCCGTTTTTGGATTCACCGAAAGGAACACACCCTTAGAACAACCCTCGCCGCCGAAGTTTTTCCGCCAGAGTTGACCCCACACTGCTCCAGCATGTCAGCTTATAATATTGTAATTCAAATTTTCTTTGTCCTTTTTTAGATATTTTTTTAGATATTTTAAGACGGAATCCACCAGGGAATTGAGTGATTTTAATTTTCAGTGTACAAAAATCTTGTACCAGGAAAATTTAAAACAAATTGCATTCCTTTTTGTATTTTTCAATAGCTAAAGATGTAAAAAATCATCTGTAATAACACCAAAAAAAACTTCTCATGGGAGCCCGAGAAAATGAATGTCAAATTCACAAAATTACATCTTTCACATGAAATTTTCAGAGATTTACCTGTGTTTTCACAATTCTTGTAAAATTTGACATTCATTTTCTCGGACTCCCATGAGAAATTTTCTTTGGTGTTATTACAGATGAGTAATTACATCTTAAGGCCTTAAGGCCTTAAAAATGTAAAAAAAGAATGCAATATTCTTTAAATTATTTTGGTACAAGGTTTTTGTCCACTGAGAATTAAAATTACCCAGTTTCCTGGTGGATTCCGTCTTTCACTAAAATGTCTTAACTGGAATAAATAATCGGATGCAGAGTATTCATCTTTAAAAACTTTATAAAATTCTAATTCAGCTTTGAATGTTCAAGGCTGTGTCGCCAGAAAAGATATATATTTCTCTTTAATATTGTTTGTGTATCGCCTGATTGTATATATTCCTAGAAAGTCATGATCCAGAGTGGATAGATTGTTTTGTTCTAACATGTTCATGAAGTTGGAGTCAAGAAAAATCCGGAGTTATTGACAGAGTGTAGATTCTTTGACAAAAGGAAAGATTGTTTAACTATAGAGTCATTATCTTTGTTGTTTAGATAAATAAAATATTTCATAATTTTCTCATTAACTGGTATAAATAGTGGTAATCTTCGAAGCTCAGCACTGCAAGCTAAATTAGAGGGCTTATTGTTCACCTCCAAGTAGTGTTTACAAACTAACTTGAGATTAATTTTTTCTATGGGGGACCTATCCTATGTTTTAAAATTTTGCTTAGTGTACATCGCCCATACCTCACTACTGTTGTAGCTTAAAATCGGAAAAATTGTGTCAAAAATCTGGGATGCGGTTTTGGGATTAAGGAGGGTATGTTTCCTTATACTGAAGAAGGCTTTTTCTTCCAAGTGTTTAAGTGCAAGAGTTAAGTTTCTTGTTTGGGTTAAACGTGTACCTAAATGGGTGTATTGTTGAACAATTTCAACGTGCTCGTGTGCTAGTTTTAAAGTTGTTGTCAACGAATTTCCCTGGGCGTTTTGGAATATCATTATTTTTGTCTTCTTCGGATTTATTTTGAACATCTATGTTTCGCAATATGAATGAAGTGTGTTTAAACAGTGTTGTAATCCTATTTTGGATCTTGATAAAATAATCAAATCATCTGCACATAATAATTTTTTTGTTCCATTAGGAAAAAACGAATGGATCAGGTAGTGTATTTTCGGATAAATATGGCAGATTGTTATAGAAGTTATTAATAAATAAAAGGGGACTTAAAATACAACCTTGACGAACACCTCCTGAGCATAAGAAAGAACGAATTTTGTTTTCTCCTAATTTTACAGAACGTTGAGTTGCAATAAAGGTGATTTATCAAGTTATAGAAATTTCCTCCTATGTTGATGTAAGAATACAGCAATACATACCATAGGTATCTCTTGACCAGCGTGCATGAACATTCCCTACTGCATCTGTTATTAGTATCAGAATTTGGATAATCTTCATTACACTTCGCAGACGTGTCTGGCTCATATTAGGTGAAGAAAATGTTCTGGACCATCCACGAACGCGAACGGGTTGTTAAGAAGTCGATTACGTACATTGCAATTAGTGTCTAATAAGGTTTTATTTATACTGTAACTGACAACTTGCAGACTATGATTTGCACATCGGAAGTTCAAACAGTGTTTTTCATCTCGTTAAAGTCAAGCATGCACCTAATAGGAAATGAAACTGGTTCCTGAAGAGATATTTTTCCCCAGAAAGATAAAAGTTGCAAAAATTGAATCAGATAAGCCAACAATTTCGTTCAGCCCCTATTAGAACGTCGCTTAGTTTAACCAGTGACTCAAAGTCAAAGTAATTTCCTCGCGCATTTAAGACTGATTTGGGGGCTTCTCTAAAACTCTGAAGTCGGAAAACAGAGAAGATAAAAACACCTGAAATTTCCTTCCTTTCCCCTCCGATGAATTCTATGAATGACCAAAATTCGTAATTGTCTTTAAGATTCCAAATCTTCTTACATTAACGCAGGCCCTTTCCGACCTTAATATTGACAGCTGGATGCATGAATATTAAGTTTCCTTCGTCTCAGTTTCTATCTATGAATTAAATTAAAGATTGCTTTTAATCCCAAAAATTCGACTGTAGCTAAAATAGAACGGCTTCGTTTTGAGGTTGAAATTCGTTGACATTTTCTGGCCGTTCTTGTGGGTCTTTCACAATCTTATATGCGTAAATTACTTCAGTTTGCGACGGTGGGTTTATACGGTCTCATGTAAAGAAAAAGGCTCGCATAATTATTCGTATATTTAACAATTATTCCTCGAGCCCGAATGGGCTCTAAGTCGGCCTCATGGGCTATTGACTCGAGGCCATGAGGGCGAAAGGAATGATTGTTTTAGTAAAATCCAACTAGTTGGTCAAGAATATCCAGAATAAAAAACTTCAGCTAGTCAAAGCTAGACTTTAAATCTTTTTTGCCGCCAAAAAGCCCGCGCTTTTCGCTACTAGTCTAATCAGAACGCAGCATTGATAATAGACCACTAGTTGGATTTTACTAATTCACTATATCTTTGCAGCACGAAGAGTTAGACGTTTGTTGAATGTACTGGTATTAACAAAACGTGTACAAAAAGGGGATGCTCAGTTTCCAACTTAAGGGAGAAAAACATTCTGAAGATCGTTTAACGCTTTCTGCTCACATATCAAGGTTCAAACCTAGCCTAAAACAGGCAAGAACACTTTCCCCATTTAAGATAACAATTTCACAGTTTCGCATTTACTGAATACCTTAAATATAGCAATTTGGTCATGTTGGTAATTTAAAGGCAATTTCGAGCCATGGAAATACACTGTACTGTAATTCGTTGGGAAGAGGCAATGGACTTCCGATATTTTTTATCGGTAAAAAAAACAAAACAGTAAACAGTTGAGGAAATACACATACTTTCCCTGGGTAAATAATGCCATGGTAAATCCTACTTGGGTTTTAGTTTGCCCGGTTGAAATTCCTTTTCTCGTGAAATTGGTCCCAAAGTAAATTAGCAGTAATTCGGCTTCACTTACAGTCACACCGACAAGAAGAACATTACTTTATTTTTTGAAAAGATGGTTTACCCCCGTAAAAGTGTCACCGCTCCTTTACGAGTAGCCATTTTACTTGTTATATAAGCAAGACACACAAGGAATATGGGAGGATGCGCAAGCAGATCCAACAGTTTATTACATCATGTAGGAGATAAAACTATTACAATATTGCATACAGAACAAAGCTTTTTTTACAATTCTCAATAAACTAAATAAACTAAGGAAAAAATACTTGCTGATACAAGTGATGGATAGTATTACAACCCTAATTATTTAGTTACTTGCAACCTATTCTCGAGGCTTTCTTCAAAATACACATCCTTGGCGGAGTCAGATTTCCACCTTCCGTGTTTTTTAAGTAGTCTTTCGGAAATCGAGTTACTGCTTTGATGCACCGCAGATGTAATGTCACCGGCTCTTAGACTATGAAGGAAATAATCGTTAGGGTTATAGTCTAACCCACTCAAGGTTTCCCTCAAGATATCCCTACACGTAGTATAGGAAAGCTTGCCACCTTTTAACGAATAACTAAAAGAACTACGCTGAAAAACAAGAGGTCTGAATAATGGAAGGGTACTCTGCAAATCAGTACCAGACAAATTTAAATATCTACGTAGAACGCCAACAGGGCAAAACTTAGATCCAGAAGCGTAATGAAATGTATACGTCATTTCCTTGTCTATATGAGTCTTACTTCGAGGGGTGAAAATCTTTAAATAACTGCCACAAAACTCAATATGCCTAACTTCGGCACTCTCCTTGCTATGAACATCCAGGATATTTTTAATGATCTCTGAAGTAATCGGCTTCTTCTTCTTAACAGGCTAAGACTTCTTTCGTTTGGCGGATTTAACAATATTAGCACAAAAATCACTATCCAACGGATTACTGTCAAGACTAGTCCCGATCGTCCAGTGTAACATCACCTTAAAGTCCTTTTTGTGGAAGGTTGGGAAGAGGGAAAAAGGAAACCGTTAGCCGTAATTAGGGTAAAAAGAGTTAACCGTAAAAGAAATTCTTCCCTAGATTTGTTGATATGACCTGTTGCGTTTCTTATTTCACGATAAAAGGCTCCTCTCCTCATCGCGATGGTTTGCTTCTTCTTCAAATCTATCATCCTCTTCACAATTTTCAGTACTTGAATTTTCATTGGCATTACCAGGGACCCTAATTCCGCTAACGAGACGATACAAGATGCCACCTAACAAACCGATCAGGACACAGGTGTTGACGACCATCACAAACCAAACAAAAAAGTTAGTATCATTGACATCTAAAGTTGAAAATCGTAACACCATGATTGACATCGATAAGACAAACAACATAAGAGGCTCAAAGACATTCTCACTGAAAATGCCACTGAGCTTTAGTCTTTCGTGTTGAAAGTCGGTTTGTCCTTCTCTCCTACCCGGTGGTGTTTCGTATGGCCTTAAAATAAGATGAATAATCGCTGAAACCATAAGTACAAGCCACACTACAAACGTTTGCAAAGAATATGACGATGGGATCATGGACAGGGCGATGGCGAGAATCAGGCGGCGTAAGAGCATGACAACTTCGAAGAACGCCTGGTACTTAGGTTTGTAGGGTAAGTAGATCGGTCCAAGCCATACATCAAGTTTCTTTCGATCTTCAGGACTCATAGAGCTTCTCTTGGGGAAAAAGAGCAACATCAAGGAGATGACCATCAAGGGAAATCCAATTACGTAGACCACAATGGAGAAAATTCCTAGTGTTGTCAGTTTGAGGTGTGTATCAGATGAGCACTCTATAAAAGGAGAAGATGGCATGTAGAGCACATTCAGGTCCTTGTGACATGGACGTACGATGGAGAGCGTTTGTTTTACAATGGGAAAGTAGCTGAAGCTTAGGCAGAAGAAGGCGGTTTGCCGGCATTTGAAGTGAACCTGTTCCATACGCCTTGTGTTCGGGCGGAACCTCTGCAAAGTCAGCATGATGATAAAATACGCACCCACGGTAGACAGGCACACCACCGGTAGAAGAAGAAGAAACACAAACTTACCAACAGGGGTAAAAAGAGAAGGCAAATCACAAGAAAGAGAGGGAAAATATAGGTTCCAGTAGCTGCTCAAGTAGCTTTGAGCTGCAATCACTTCCTTAGGCCAAACATTGACGCTTGATACCATGAAGTCCATAGTCTGGATGTAAAACACCGCGATGCTGATAAGAGAACGAGCAGCTTTCCCTCTACTAGTTATACAGAGCACGAAAACAACCAGGTTTAATTTGAAAAACCATGCTGGTAGGAATTCTAAAAGCATCATCATTAACATCAAAAGGAAATGAACAGCAGTCACAGCAAACCATTTCGCTGGACGCATGTTATAATAAAAATACGACCAGATTAAAACAAGGAAGGATGCTGCAAACATAGGGATAAACAAGTAATAGTAAAATGAATCGCCATTTCTACATTGAAAGCATAGTCCACTTAGTTTATAGAACCCATATTTACACCGAGAACAAAATCTGTCCGCGTTTCCTTGATGACATATGCAGGAATTGTCGCATTTTGTGGTCAGAGATGACACTGCAGGTCTTTTGAAGGGCGCACGAGTATCTTTTGGCGATGTGACTAGTCTACAGCTACATAAACCTGTTGGATTGCAGGCAGATTTAACAGGACATTTGACAAGATGGGTAGCGTTAGCAGGATCAGGGGATGGCCAGTAACCGCTGCTTATGTTCATGATGCTGGGACGAAGATCTTCTGCCGAACCGGGTGCAAGTCTGTGACATGTCCCATCCTTCATGCACTGTTTGCACAATCCTTTGTCTCCGTAGAAACCTTCATCGCAGACGCAGTATTTGTACTCATAAAAGGTCGGATCTACGCGAATGAGACCATTGTTGAAGGTGAGTCTTCCTTCTGGGCAGGTGAAATTGTTTGCTTTGTGTGGTTTAATCATTCTTAAAAAATCAGGTTGAAAGGTATTAGACGTTGCCCCATTTCCTTCTCGCATAAAAGGGTTTCCAGAAATATCCAAATTTTTTAGGGATACCAAGTTTTGAATTCCAGCAGGGAAACCTCCAGTCAGGTTATTTGATGAAATATCAAAAGTGGTTAGAAAAGAAAAGTCTCCGATGAAAGTTGGTATAGGTCCAAAAAAGTTATTACCACGTAAGTCACAAACAGACAATCTCTCCATGTAAAGCACATTGTCTGGTATTGGACTACTGATACCACAGAAGCTCACATTCAAAGTCGCAGGGCTGTAATTCCCTTGTTCCATAAATTTGCGGAAAAGGTCAATGAAGCTTGTAAAATTTATTGACAGATTCCTATTGTCCGCTAAAGAGATGGATAAACTTTCATTTACTGTGGCATCACCTGGCCAGGCCTTTCCTTGGTTAAATGAAGAAAAACGATTCTGTGACACGTCAAGCATATATAACTGTGGCAGAGAAAGCAGATCGCCTGGTATATCCCCTGTAAGTCGGTTGTTGGCGACATTTAATACCCGGAGGTTGGTGTTATTTTTGAACGTTTTCGGAAGCGTACCTGAAATGTTGTTTCCGGGTAGAACAAGGTACCAAAACCCTTTTGGCAACACACGAGGCATCCTTCCCGTTAGATGAATCCCAGATACGAACAACTGTCTCAACGAAGAAAGCGAAAGTAAGTCACTCAGCCTCCCAAACATCGTACCAGGGTTATTCCTTAGATCGAGATACCAAAGCTTGTTTAATCGAGAAATACTTCTTGGTATTTCTCCACTTATGTTATTTCCGCCAAGACCCAATAATCGTAGCTCCCTCATATTTCCTATGTCGTGGGGTAAACGACCTGAGATACCGTTACCATTCATGGGGCAAGCCATGAAATTCTGCAGTTTTCTAAGTTTGGTGAAGTCTTCTGGGATATATCCACCAACAGAAGAGGCAGTCAACCCGACGGAAAGCAGGTTAGTCATATTTCCAAAGAGAAAGTCGTCAAGACGTCCATGTAGATTTGGATTTCCCACAACGCATAGAGAAAACAAGTTTCTGATCTTCCAAATGGTGGAAGGAAGGGAGCCGTCCAAGTTATTGTAAGCCAACACAATTGTTTTTACGTATGAAGTGTTTCCGTGGCAGGTAATACCATACCAGGAACAGTGAGATTTTTCATTTGCAAGGCTGGTCCATCCCCGTCTGTCGAACCACTTTTGGCCGTTGGTGGATTCATATATGTCTAGTAAAACCTTTCTTTCTTGCTCTGGTGCAAAAGAAGTGTCCAACGTGAAAAGTGGAAACATCGCCACGCGGTTTAGACATTCTTTGCCATTATTAATCAGAAACATATTGAGGCCTGGAACAAAAATAGATGTTCATTTATTAAAACGGTGTTTAAGATTTGACAACAATAGTAGTTTTCACTTAATTATATCACTTTGAGTTGAACATTCATTGGTGCAAGGAGACTTTCAGAACCTTTGTTTTAGAAAACGGATTTAAAATGATTATTTTAGTCAAAAAGCATATTTAGACTTTTGTTCCATCAGGCTTCAAAGTCAAAGTCAAGCCTCTGAAGAGGCCCTCTGTTAAGTACTCAACCTCTATTAATATCTGAATTTTAAATTGAGTGTGACAAAATGAATACGTATTCATCCCAGGACCCCCCCCCCCAGCTACGCCCCTGAATGTAGCACTTCGCACTCAGGTGAAGTAAAAAATAATACAGTTTAAGGGAACCTAGCTCTCAAAATCTGATCATCGATGAAATGAAAAACGTCCACTGCACGCCCTGTTCTCTCCGAAACAGAAAAACGTATTTTTATTCAAAACCCATTTGTTTATCCTTCCAAGAACTTCGCGTAACACTTAACTGGATTGTGGATCCGTTCACGCAAGTAAAATCGACTAAGCACATGGTTACTAATCCAAAACAATCTCGAATCTGGGTGCATTTTCCAAATAATTTTCTCAAAATTTCCGCATGAAATTGAAGCAGCAGCTATTTGTTTTGTTATGGAGCGTGGGCTCAGAGAAAGAGTCAGCAAAACTCCAGAATATGCGTGCATGCTCAGATAAAACTGGTTTATCCAGTATAAAACTTGTCTGACTCATCCAAGAAGCTGGATGATCGGCAGATCAAACGATTTAGAAGACGGTCGGCAGAGTCGCTTCCTCTTTCCCGACTTACCTAGGAAAGATCGAAGCGACTCTGCTAGCAGGGTATTGGACACTTAGACAGTACTGAATGTAATATTTCTCTTTTCAAGCCACAGGGACAAAAGATTAGTTATGAGGGAGCTGGTTATTAAGTGAATTGCTTGCGCTTCCGTTCTCTTAATGGTTGTTAGGTTGTCCGCCTAACACACAGGTTTCAAAATTATTTCTTTATGAGCCTTATACATGTACTTACCGTAAGTATCTCTTGGCGGTAAGGCGAAAGCATTTTCAGCATCACGAGTCATGTGCAGCCACCAAAAAGTTACACCTAGAAAAACTGTGTTCCACATTGCTATAGATTCTCGGGTGGAATGAGAGTCTTTTACATCTTCACAGTTATGTCTAACAAAAACGCTTGCAATCATTATGTTAATGTTTATCGTCTTGTCCAATTGGCGCAGGTTTGTGGCATTGTTTACTCCATGCTTCTACTTTTAGAACAGTAAGCGAAACGCAATCGAGGTCTGAACTAAGCCGGATGTTGCAAGTGAAATGATAATAATAATAATAATAACAATAATACTAATAATAATAATAATAATAATATTCCGATTAAGCCTTCATATAAAGAGCTGTGACATCAAATGTTTTGAGAGTCAAAGTGCGTAGGTAGGAAAAGCTATGCTGTCGTTGAGAAATATTTTGAAGAAAAAATGAAAGCGGGAGAGAACACGACCTTCTAAAACATCTTTTTCTCAATGGCTGTCTCGACAGTGTGCTGTAGAGTTCGTAAAGCAACTGTTCGTGGCAACAGCGTGCTCACATAGCTTCTGGCATTGTTTGCTAGGTTCTTTCGTTTGCACATTATTTTGTGACCCGGATTTATAGGAAATAAAGCTTGACTCATGATAGCCCGATTAAAAGGCCGTCAAGCAGCGGAAACAATACTTAGCAGAGAAGACGTTTAATCCAAATTATGTTAATAAATAAATGATGGAATGAGTGAGTCGACTGCCTTCTAAATTCCATGGAATGACTACGTCATCCATGATTTAAAAACGAGATAGAAAGATCCTACGATTATAACTAATTTAACCTTTGTAAGACTACTTGTCTGAAACGTCTATTCCCCATCTTTTTGCTGTTTCTATCTTAAAATAAATACAGTTGTGGCTGTATTGGGCAATAATTCGTCTCAACGGGACTTTATCTATCTGACCTAATGCGCGGCTAGACGACGTAGCTGTCCTTATGATTGGTGCTGATTCAGTAAAAAGTTAACGTTTACTCACAAAATACCTTTACAATCAGCCCAAAGTCCAATCTAACTTTCCTATTTTCTTACTTTTAAGGAGCTCTCAAGTCTTAAAGGGACAAATTGAATCTTGCTCCTGGCGCTTTCTAAGGGAAACGAAACGATTTCCAATTAAAATCACTGAGTTTCCATAAAGATGGGCGTCAAACTCAGCACGTTGAATAAAGTTTGAATAATCAAATTTTCTGTTTTATGAAATAACTGATTTAATAACTAAGGATACTAGACAACTTCTCAATGGCAAGGAGAGTTTTCTTTTTGGATACTTAGATGAGTTTGGCTGCATTTTGCTTGCTTAGTAATCGTCAGGTCGAATGTTGAGTCAGAATTTGAGTTGAATAATTTATTCAAGTATCATATATACACTCTGAACCGACTGAAGCATGATTATATTGCGTTCTTTTCTTACACATTAGGTTATTCACATTGACATTTAGAAGCAACTTTGTGATACTTTGATAATGATGACATTTTAAAATAAGAATCGATCAAAACGCTGAAATCCTCAATTTCTTGCTGTGCACAGGTACTGTCCTTGCACGAGGGAATCACCTTTCACATTCTTAGACGTATTAGCTGATGATTTAAATGCTTAAATACTCTTCAGCAGCTTCCACTGAATAGCTTTTCATCACACTCCATAAATATCACAATTCCCTCTGAAAGTCTGTCATGTTCAAGCTGACAAAATATTATTTCTATGTAACAATACATTTACAATTTGTAGAGACATTCTCTTAAGGTATATTGATGCAATATTTCGAAAGGAGACTTTAACGCAGGGTAAACATATGGCACAACCATTCAAAAGTTCGCCGAACTATTTAAAGTCAAAAAAGGATCATCAACTGGGCATAGAGCCTTCTGTAAAAATTACAGAAAAAGAAGGGCAATTATCCAATGATCAAATCAAACCGACTTATGTACTGGCTGGGTGCATTCACTATACTGTACTATATAACTAAACTAAGGCGGATGTTACAAGTAAAATAATAACAATAATAATGATAATAATATTCCGATTAAGTCTTCATATAAAGAGCTGTGACATCAAATGTTTTGAGAGTCAAAGTGAGTAGGTAGTAAAAGCTATGCTGTCATTGAGAAATATTTTCAAGAAAAAATGAAAGCGGGAGAGAACACGACCTTTTAAAACATCTTTCCCTCAATGGCTGTCTCTCAGTGTACTGTAGACTTCATAGAGTACTTGTTGGTTCTTTCTTAATTGCACATTACTTTGTGACCCGGATTTATAGGAAATAAAGCTTGACTCATGGTAGCCCGATTAAAAAACCGTCAAGCAGCAGAAACAATACTTAGCAGAGAAGACGTTTAATCCAAGTTATGTTAATAAATAAATAATGGAATGAGTGAGTTGACTGCCTTCTAAATTCCATGGAATGTCATCCATGATCTAAAAACGAGATAGAAAGATCCTACGATTATAACTAATTTAACCTTTGTAAGACTACTTGTCTGGAACGTCTATTCGCCATCTTTTCACTGTTTCTATTTTAAAACAAATACAGTTGTGGCTGTATTTGGTGATAATTCGTCTCAACGGGACTTTACCTATCTGACCTAATGCGCGGCTAGACGACGTAGCTGTCCTTATGATTGGTGCTGATTCAGTAAAAAGTTAACGTTTAGTCTCCCAAAATACCTTTACGATCAGCCCAAAGTCCAATCAAACTTTCCTATTTTCTTACTTTCAAGGATCTCTCAGGTCTTAAAGGGACAAATTGAATCTTGCTCCTGGCGCTTTCGAAGGGAAACGAAGCGTCAATCAGTTCATAAAGAGGGACGTCAAACTAACGTTTAATAAAGTTTGAATAATCAAATTTCCTGTTCTAAATAACTGATTGAATGACTAAGAATAGGCAACTTCTCAATGGCAAAGAGAGTTTTCTTTTTTTGTTTATCGTCTTGTCCAATTGGCGCAGGTTGGTGGCATTGTTTACTCCATCTTCTACTTTTAGAATAGTAAGCGAAACTTGCAACGCAATCGAGGTCTGAACTAAGGCGGATGTTACAAGTGAAATAATAATAATAATAATAATAATAATAATAATAATAATTTTTATAGTAATAATAATATTCCGATTAAGCCTTCATATAAAGAGCTGTGTCCGTCTTTATGAATGATAAAACATCATTCACATTACGATATAAGTTTACCGGGTACGATACAATATCAGTCAGGTTACGATATCAGGTTACTGCGTTCGAAACAACGATGTATGGCTACCGGGTACGATACATCAGCACTGGAGTACGATACAATACTATTCTGGTTACGATATAAGGTTACCAAGTACGATAATACATTGTTCCGGTTACAATACAACATCACCGAGTACGACATAACAGCATACCGGGTACGATAAGACAGTATACAGGCAAATTCGATATAATGCACCTTTTGGTATGATCCAATAACATCTTTGGCCAGTATTTCCCTCCATAAAATTCTTTTTCTTTCGTTGGCACTTAGCGAAAGCTACAACTAGTTAATATTTACAAAAAGATCCTTCATTACATATTGTATCTTCTGCGTAGAAACGAGGATACTATTGGCAAACCACAGGTCTACCAAGCTCGAAATATGAGCATCGGCGGAGCATCGGCATTGTTGCGTAACATTCAAAATAAAAGAATTTGTATGGGAAAAAAGCCTATCGTTTCTGTAACCCACGAAAATGAAAGGATTTAAATAAAAAAAACAGCTTACCTTACATAAAATGTGTGTTACGTCTCTCCTGTGTGGTCCACGGGCCGATTTATGGCCGTTTCATGGGTTTTTATGTAAACGGTTTTCTCTCTATATAAACCTTTATATAGAGAGACAAATCCTTATATTTTGAATGTTACGCA